TTGAATATAAAAAATTGATCAAAGCTGTCAAATAAAAAAAAACATGTCAGCAATGTGAAATGTAATTTAATATTTTACCTATTATTATAATATATTTTGTTTGGAATGTTAAGTAGATTTGAAGTGATTATTCGAATGTGTTAAAACTTTGTAAGAAAATATATAATTTAATTGTAATACTTTAAATTACATTTATTTAGCAGCCCCCCCCCCCCGCTTGTCCGCTATTTTTGGAAGCAGACCTGGCAACCCCATTTCACTATATACAGTAAATTACATGTTCTGCCGTCAGAATTCATTTTTCGTTGATTCTTGATACCGAAAAATCGATTGACGGCAAAATGTGACCTAAAAATAAACAAATGTAACATCACGACGTTAATATTCACATTACCAGCTAATTGTTTAGATTATTGCCTTTGTGAGTACAAGGGCTTCAAATGACGTTTTATAATGTTTCTCAAAAACTCAAAAGTTTTCTGAGAAAATGAGTTCGAAATTTAGCATTTTCAGGAACGCGCAAGTGCGATATCCTCGAAAGGGATCCAAACTTTTTTTTTCAACATAACCTACGATGTGTCAATATATTTTATACATCAACTTTTTTTCTCTTTAAATGGCAGCTTAGAGATTTCATTGTATCAAAACAAGATTTCTGCACTAAATAAGCTCGTACAAAAAGTGTACGCACAAACGAAATAGGTATCACTAGCAATTAGCAAATAATAGATGCCAAGTCCACGGACCATTTCTGTAAGAATTGAAGGTTTGTCCGTGGGCGATGACTGTCATTTCGCCAGGAGCACAAGAGAGGAGGGTGACAAAGGGCGGGAGACTCGGAGAGCTGTGAAATATTCAAGAGGTGCACAGCTGCAAATTCCCCATAGAGTGTCAAAGGGCGGGGCGGAAGCGAGAGAACTTAGTCACGGGGCAACACGAAAGATAAATACACGACGTATCATTATATTTCCACAAGGCACCCCATCGCGATTACGGGTACCAACGTTGATGTAATTTGAGGAGAAGGCTTCCTAACACCGCCGAAAACATTGCAGTCGTACTGGCTGCAGGCTACTCCCCTTTACTAGATGGTGAGTTCATTTTAAGCAAATGGCATTTTATTATTTTTTATTAATTATTTTCAATTATTAATTTACTACTGATTTATGTTTTATTTGTATTTTTAATAATTTTATTAAGGCTTTATTTGCTTAATCAGATTCGATAATAATAATAATAATAATACATTGTTATTAATAATGAAGGACTTGGCAGTGTTTCACGAGATATTTCTTTTATTATTACGTTGTTTATAAATTGATAAACAGCCATAACTTTCCTCTATATCTTCTGTATTTCAGTTTTGTTTCTTAAGCATACTGGAACAGAATCGGCTAAAGAGACGTTTTGTTTCTTGCTCGTCTCTGCTCACCCTCCCTCAGTCTACTTTTTTTCATGGCGAGCCTTGCTGCCTGGTCAGCAATTTTGTTCCATATTATTCCAATGTCACCAGGAATCCAACAAAACCCAAATTATAACGATGCACCAATAAATTATGGATTTGGTGTTGGATGATCATTGTCAGAGGGTCACAAAAAGAGAAGCAGTTGATAAATTTGAACGAGCTTTTTGAATCACTATTCTGTGACACTTAAAACGGCGCAAAGGATTTGGTACATACTGCCGCACATGGAGGTTATACAAAACACAACTCATCCTTTCCGCGGGAGACGGAAAATCAAACGGAAGGATCAGGGTTGAAGTAGGGATCACTTTCCCTTGCTCTTTCCTTTTGATCCTATACACTTTAAGTCACACCCTGACTCTAGACAAATGTTATTACTTCATTTTCGGAAGCGAAGTGCTGCAAAGAGAATCGTTGCATTCCTCTGTCGCAGGACCGCTTGGAGCTTCCCATATGCTTCCTCTATGGCTCGCGCCATTCGAACAGTACTTACGTTTTTAAACGCTTTTTCTTCCTCGGCGCATGTCAACAGGAACCGAGGCTTTTTCGGTCCATCATCTTTTCAAAAGAACTATTTAAATCAATAGTTCGTTCCGGATATCTCCTCTTCCTTGCGGAAGAGGGCGGGGGAGAAGGTTTAGTATCCATGAAGATGGGTACAAGATTCGCCACCCACCACGGAGCCCACCTCCACATATAGTGGGGGGATGGGGNACCTCCCCCCCCCCCCGCTCACTGGAGTTCAGCATCTCGTAACTTAAGAAAAAATGGTAAATAAATATATGGAGATATATTCACTGTTAAAAGATATTGAGGATCAAAAATAATTAAACTAAGAAATGGCATGTATATTAATTAAGAAAATAGTTATAACTAGTATTTGGTTACTTGAATACTCACGTATGTCATACAAGGAAATGTGTCAGTATTTCCTCTAAGCTATCCCTCGGAGAACAAGTAATAAATAATAACCAACTCTAAATTTCAATCAACAATTTCACCTTGCATTACCCCTCAAATTTTGGAAATTAATCTACAAGTTTTAATAATACAATGAGAATCAAGGGGCAATCAAAGCTAGTTTTAATTTTACTGTTATATTCGTTAATTCTCCTTTAAACTATATAAATTCTTCTCTTTCCACACTCATCCACAACCCATTTGTTCTTAATTATTTTAACATTGCAATTTCTTGTATCAAGAAACAGATTCAGAAAATACATTGTTTGCAGATGGCAAACACTTCTCTTGTTCCGTAATGATATTAGCATAACCAGAAAATACCCTCAAGGCAATCTGGATCAATTCATAAATTGCTGCAAAATTATGGAAGAAGTTGATTCTGATAAAAAATTCACATGGAAAAAGCATAACACCAGGATAAATTTCTAGGGCCAAATCCATATTAAAACACTTAGGAAATAAGAGAATCTTTAAGCAATAAGTGATAGCTTAGAATAAAAGATCACTTCTAGGGATCAACATTTTAAAAATGTTCCTTAAAATGAGAGCCTCCTTAAGAGATCAGAGATGTTACAAAATATCATTTGCACAAGGTGTTTTGTGATACAGTGGCCCAATGAGTACACTCTCAAGATTTTTCATAAGTGTCCAACATGTCTTGTGTGCATTTGAGATCGTTAATTCTTGAACTTTTTCAAGGAAATATCCAGGTTTCTGATGTATCTTTTCGTAATACATATGTTTATAGAATTTAAAGTATTCTGGGAAATCACTGTCGTTATTTTATGTACTATGAGCCCCATATAAGAACATGCACTAGTAAAGAGAAGGTTGAGTGTGGAACACATATGAATGCATGTTCTATCACTGTCCACTCCTTTGAGAATAAACCCTGTTTGTGTTACGTTTGAGATGTATCGGTCACTTAAGGAACATTTGATTTAGCAGTTCACTAAAAATTCAGCTCTTTACAAATCTAAATATGGAAGTATATCTGTGAGTTTTCCATATTTATTCTTCATTTTTTATTGAATTCATATAGTTCCATAACTATAGGACTTTTTTTGTTTTTATGATCACCCATTGTACTTGTCTGTATAACTAATGTATGTTACAATACTACTAAATATATGTTCATTAGTTTTATGTATGGTTTTCATGTATTCATTATCAGATTACAATACATTTAACACTATGTCCACAGTTCTCACTTGTTAATGTCAGGATTATGATGATCGCTACAAAAGTTTTGAGATAAAACAAAAACTAAGAAACTTGAATTAATTTTGATAACTATATTTTCTCAAAATACTTACCATAACATTCTATACATTTTTGCATTCTCGTAGACCAATTTTCAATACAGCTTTTTCACTTATTTTCCTAGAATGCAAAAAGTTCACTTTTGTAGGCATTAACAGCTTCTTCAGGGCTTGAGAACATCGTCCCTTGCAGGTGACTTTTGGCTGTAAGGAACAAAAAATAATCACACAGGGCCAGATCAGGACCGTATGGTGAGCGAGTCATTTGTTTAAACTCCGTTGACTCCAGGAACTGAATTGTGAGGTTGGTTGTGTGCGAAGAAGCATTGTCACGGTGCAGGACGATTCCTGCAGTCCTGTCTTCGGTCTCAGTTCTTGAAGTTTAGCGCAAACTTTTGGTAGACATATTATTGTGTACCTAAGAGCAGTAACAGTTCATTGTTCTTCCAGTGGAAGAGTGGTAACATGGCTGCTTTTGGAGAAGAATGTTGCAACCATTTTCTTTCTGATGCTTCGAGGCTGCTTAACTTTTGTTGGTGAATGTCCGTCAGGAAAAATCCATATAGTACGCTGATGCTTATTTTCAGGATCAAACTGATAAATTCTTTTCATCACCAGTAACTATGTCAGAAACGCACCTAGAGATTCCGGTTTCAAATCTTTTCAACATTTCTTCAAACCATTCCAAACGGATGTGCTTCTATGATTCTGTCAAAGTGTGAATCACCCATCAAGATGCAACTTTCCTGACTCAAAGATATTTGTGCAGAATTTTGGAAAGTTGCAGCAATTCAATCTGTAGGGACTCTTCAACGTCCTTAAGTGTCCCATGATTGATTTCACATACCAATTTTTCCTCAGTGACAATGTTTTCTTCAGTCACTGCACTCGCCAAATGCCTACTCCTCTCTTTGTCTTTCAACAAAGTTCTGCCTCTTCAGAATTCTTGAAACCACCAATAAATTGTCACAAAGTCCCTGAAGGCCCCCTGCAAATGATCAAGGTTTTGAGATTTGTTTAAACCACTAAGTTTTTAAGACAAAGGGAATCGTTTCACGAACATGCTCTCTTGTGGGCTCCCTTCTGAAAACAACTGAATGCTAGGCTAACAAAAAGAAAGGTAGGCCTCTTAGCAGCAGCGATAAGCCAAGCAAGTTCCAACTTGCACGCATTACTCAGAAAGGACACTGCGATCAATTCACATTCTTGGAAAGGTAATAATGGACCGACACAAAGTATATCTCAAAACTTCCGTAGCGACCTCCATATTTATGTTGCTAAATGAAAGAGAAAAATTTTAAGACAATAATGCTCATAGAATATTTAGTTAAATTTTATTAATAATGACTGGAATTACAAACTACATGAAGTTTGTGTCAAATAACAGAAAGTAACATAACTGTGATTTATGCAGTTTTGTAGTCCAATAATTTACCACATTAGTGGCTATTATAATACAATTTTATATGCATTCTTGCAAAATGCTGAATGTGGCACCAAAAGGTACACAAAATGTGTAAGGCAGTGGGCATACCTGCCACACCTGGAACTTGCGATAATGAAATTTCATATGGTGTCAGTTCACAGCTATACTTTGGACAGATTTGTTTCGATATAACAAGCAAAAAACACAGTTTTGTACAAATTAATAAACAGAAAATAACAAAGGTACAAGTAAAACATTTACAACTTCATTGTTGGTCTCCAGAGATGCTTCAAAAGTGAAATAATGGCACTGAATAGATTTTAAGATAAAATAATTAGAGCATAAATTCCGTACAAAATTTTCATGAACAGACTTCAATACTGTCATAAGGCAAAGTATTAAACTGTTGTGATTTTCAAAATATTGGTGATGTTTTCCAATGTGCCTCAATCTGAACAGTGCCACTGCAATAAGCCAACGCCACACAAGCCATCTCTGAATATGATTCAATCTACTGACACCTCTATTCAAGTAACTTACAAAATCCATAAAGCATAACCGTACAATACTGACCATATTACTTTGCTAATAAGTGCAAATTACCAACACTGTCTGCTTTCTCAATAAGATACAAAATAAGATTAGTTGGGAAAAGCCACATAAAACACATCATTTTTATTAATGTGATTACTGAGCAACTTGGGAGACTTAACTTTTCAAATAGTCATTCAGACTTATTCAAGAATCGGTTGTAACACCTGCATCCCAATACCAACAATTCACATATGTACATACCTTAGCAATATATAAACCTAGCTATATGTACAATCTGAAATTTGAGTTTACACATTTCACACTTCTCAAATGTAATATTTACATTTGCAAACACACACTCACAACAGATAGCACATGCATATTAACGTAACAGCAAATATACAATTTTACACTGGGAGTAGGACTCAAATGTTTGCATTGTACCTGGGAGTAATCTTATTTTCATTGCACCGGAGAGACTTCAGCTCCAGCAGATACTGCCTCCCAATTCATGAAATTCTTCCCAGAAATCCTTCATAAAAATAATATCCAGTCCATACGCTCCCTCCTGTCTCCTTACCCCTGCCTTCAAAATAGTAATTAGCAATATAAATCCCACAGTAGAATAACGCACACTGTAGGAATATTCTACATCACAGATAATGCAGACAAGTATATGTCTTCATCTGCATATCACAAGAAACTTCTTTATGTTAGGATTCATTTATAGTGCAATGTTTTCAATAAAACTAGTGCATTAAGGATCCCAAGCAAAAATATATTTTCAGGGAAACAGCATATTATTCTATACTGCATATGGGAGAGAAATTAATAGTTCAAAATCATTGATTCCATGAATTACAAAGATTATCATTACAGACTGTTTGCTAAATTAATCAATATTTCAAAGAATGGTTCATTATTATGAAGAAAATATGAAGTTTACTAACGTTTAAATTATTGAAGTTGAATTCACAAGAAGTTTCAATAAATATTTGCAAGCAATTAAATTTAATTTATCTAAAAGCTGATAGCTTTCTAACACAAATTTCTGCATCAAAAGCCTCCTTTTTTTTTTCTTTTTTTACACAAGTGGAAATGTTATCAAAGGTTGTTTTGAAGCTGGCGAATAGTGGATTCAAGTTACTGACTTCATACACAAATATGAGTAAAATCCAGTCCAATCTACAGCAGGGAAGCTAAAATTTTGAGCAGTAAATATTTCAATCAAAACAAACAGTAAAGATAGTCAAAAGTACATATGCCAACTGTACCAAAAACCTTTTCATCCCATGAGGAAAAAAAAAAAAAAAAAGAGATAAATTATTTGCTACAGAAATGTTGCAAGTAGAATGTTAACACTAAGTTGACAGGTAGCAACACTACAAATGAAAGCAATTAATTCGATAACTAACTTTCTAGGTTTGAAGTTGAAATCATTTTTTCACAGTATCTACATGGAATGTTATAGGAGACACGTAATTATTAGAAAACAACAAAGTACAGAACAACTTAAAATTCTAGGATCAATATATTTCCAACTCTGATAAAAGTGCTATGTTTGAAATAAGATAAACTTCAGAACTTCTATTAACACAAGCACAGATCATTTGGCACTCATTTAAATTCACTCACTTCAATCCTTATTGCCATCAAAATCACTTCAATGGGAAATCCTCTATACTTCAAGGAACCAGTCTTACCAACATGAAGCAATAAATATGTGGCAACACATACTGCTTCACATAACAGAAATTATTGCAGATGTTATGAAAAAAGTGATGACCTAGATCGTGGAGGACGCACCTGCCGAGGAACCTCTGGTCATCCTTCCGAGACGGAAGACAAACTACTTCGTGTAGAACCAACGGTGGAGATGTCATGTCCTGAAGGTAAATCAGGAAGGTCAGCAGGAAGGGGCAGCGATGGCCCAAACACCTGCTCCTGCTCCTCCAGCTGCTGTGCAAACTGTTCCTCCAAGCGCTGCAAAAACAAAAACTTCAACACATTTCCTTTAAACACAAATCTTTCACCCCAAATTTCACTAATAGAACTTAATCCATTTTCCTAGACTTGAAGGGCAAATTTTCTTTGTGACAAATCAAGAATATAGTTTTCATAATACATGGTATAATATATACATATTATGTACATAAAAACAAATAACTATAAAGAAAGTAGAAGAAAAAAAAAGAAAAAGAAAAAAAAAACACACACACATACAAATTCAGTGCTTTAGCAAACATGACTAAAGGCCCACACACATGCGCTGCTTGAGTACACACCTGTACAGTTCCATAATGTAGACTACACCCGCACTCTCAGCAGCCTATCCAGGAATATTAATGTTACAGGACAAGGAAAATTGGAAAGAGTGGAATACACAACTGAAATAGCAATAACCAAGACACCAATAGATATTCCATTAACAAATTACAAAGCTGACATAGACCATCACCATATAAAAAAGTTTAAGCCTCGAGGAAAACCAGGAATAAGATCCAAACCACAAATAATTAAGAGGGGGGAGAAATGAACAAAAAGTCTCACAAATATTCTGTGACCACATTAAATACATGTGAAGTGAATCTAATCACAATTTCCAACATACAAATCAAAGGCAAGCAATGAATGAATTCAAACAACACTAATTCAAAATACATTATTTTTCCAAAGTTCCTTTTTCACAAGTTAATAAATCATTTAAAATGTCATTAAATAGCAACATTGTACACCCAAAGCTCTACAAAGAACATAAATGAGAAGCTTCCATCTTGAACCCAGAATGACTGTTCTAGTAAACTGATGCAGCTGGAAACGCAATTTTTCTTTTTTGTTGAGTATCATAATTAACCAACTTTCTTTAAATTTACTATTTACGAACTATCTTTAAATTAACAGAATCATTGTTTCTCATCCTAGTCTTCTTTGTGAAGATAAGTATATTACATACAGAGTATGTACTACTGTATATACTACTATACATTACAATATTTGTTTTTGGATTATGAAAGTACTTGCTGGGGATTTCTCCAGAATATGATTCTATATTTTTAATCTGAATGAACATTTTCAAAGTGCACAGTTCGTAATGTTTGTAAGTTAGAATTTTACTTAATGGTATATGGTGTATCATGACTTCATGAGCTTGTAATTTAGATTTGCTATGTCAAACACAAACATTTTCACTTCCTACACTGAATTTCAATATAACCAACTTGAAAATTCAAAAAGGAAAACAATATTAATAAACACTAACCTACATTATTTTTCAAAACACAAATGTTTATAATCATTACCTCATTGTGGCTAAAAATTTCAACTGTTTGCCCTTTTCTTATGTAAAAACACACTGTCACTAGTTAACTAATTTTAAACACGTTTGCACATTTTTTTAAAGCATTTACAAATTAACTGACTTAACATTATTTATTACTGAATAACTGAGAAAAGGCTTAGCTATTGCTAAACAATGCAGTTTGAGTTCACTCAATGTGCACATACTTCACTTTTGAAAGTTTTAGACAAAGATATTTCCACTTTATTCATATGTATTTCAATACAGAAAAATTAAACACCCCCAAAACTACTAATCAGGAAAAACCATAAAGAAATTTCAATTTTAAGAAATTGTTCCAAGAGTTACTTGAAGGATATTTAAATATTTCAGTCTTGGTACTCCACAATGAGGAAGCATGTTAAGAAACAATCAGTATTATATCTCCAAGTTGTACAATTTGTCTTCATTACAAAATTCTCTACAAAAAAAGAGACAAAGAACTTCAAAACCAACTGATAATTTGGTTTGATACATAAGGATTTAAAAGAAGATGAAAAATTAAAGACGTGAAAAAAATTAATTCTAAATTTGGAGAAATACTTAACTACCTTCGATTTTGGAAAACCATGTCACCCATTAGGAATCAACTCCACAACCATAACACATGAAACAATATACCAGACTCAATTCTATTACTCAAAATTATTAGTTATACATGTCAAAATGCTTACAGCACAACTCTCTGAAAAGAAATAGTAAATAAATAAAAGAATTTCAAAAAACATTTCATATAATACCTGGCAATACAAAAGAATTAAAAACCAAAACCACAATGGATTCACGAGTTTTCCATATTAATAATAAGTGACAAAAAATAAATTAAAGATGATTTGTACTTTCTTGAATAATATAATTGTTGGGACTTGCAATTCAATAAAAGATTGTATGCCTTTTTTCACGACAGTTCATTTAAAGTAAGATTGGTTTATTTTTGTGATACACAAGAACTTTTCACAAAATCCACTAAAAACAAAGGGCTTGGGTCAGTAACAAGATAAACCACATTACAACAGGAAGTGTCATTCGAAAACATGAATATCTCGATTTTCAAGAATAACATATCTTGTGACTCCCCAAAGCCCTTCATGAATATGAAGTCATATGAGGTATTAACATTTACGCATATCAGATTTGTTGTGGTACATGTGGCATAATTTGATACTGCTTCAAGCTTCTCACCTAAAAAATGGATGTATTTCCATATGCACAGAAGAAAAGAATAATCTAATAAGTTTTTGAATCACTGTCATCAAAATCTTTAAAAATGCATTAATTTTCAGTTCCATTTGCTCCAAAAATTCTGATGAAGGGAAATACAAGAGCAAATATTTATTTAAACCTCACGGCCATTTAAGCACAGAGTACACTTTATTTCAATTACAATAATAACACTGGTCAACAAATTTTGCCACGGACAACTTTCATTTGAATGTGTAGTATCTTTAAATGAAAAATCAGGCCTTCTATCAAAATTTTGATACAATATATAGTTTTGGAGATAAAAGTTCATTATTAGCAATTTTTCTGTTAAAATATTTAGTTTTGAAATTATTGCCATTAACATTTTGTTAAGTAATAGGTGCAGGAAGGTGATCAAGACAAAATGTGGGCACCTTGTGCCTGTTGCATTGGTGCAAGGCATTTAACATGACAGGCAAATGATTCTCGTCTAATGCCACCTGACCCATGGTGAAGAGAACAGAAAGATGAGTTTTCAGGCAAAAAACTTTTTAAACCCATAAAAGTAGAATCTCAAAAAAGTCAAAGCATGCTTTAAAGTATCTCAATACACCAGTGATTACAGCTTACGCAGTGAAGATCTACCTTACCCAGCAGCCAACAGAAAATATTGAAAATCGAAGTTCTGAACAGCCCCAGAGTGCACAATATGATCATCATCAGCACAAACCAACTTTTGGAATTTCTAATTAGACCCATTAATTAACAAAAGGATAGCAGAACAGTTTTGTGCGAATTCCAAATTTATCAAAAACACAGGCAGACATTTTCAATCACAACTAGATTGGCCGGAACCTTCTTGAACACAAAACTAGGATATGCAGATTTTTAAATTGTCAAGAGACGTTAATGAATTATTTTCTCAAAAAGGTGATAGAGTTTACAAAAAATGTAGTATATCAGTGCTAGGCACTCTGGGACATGTTGAAAAGCCAGAGGAATTGCATTTGTACATTGATTTGTCAAATGTTAGCTAAAAAAACGTCCTTTTCCACAATGGAAATAAATTTCCGTCAGTACTGCGTGCACCTGCTAATAATTTTGAAAGAAATACTTGGAAATACCAAGAAAATTCTAAAGAGATTCAGAGTGAAAAATTTATCAAAAACATATGTGGATATCCATTGGTTTTTAGATGTACACCCTGGATACATAATAAACAGCTGCTTTTTTGTGCAAGTGGAACAGTAGCCACTTCAAAAAGATGTGGCTTTCGTGTAAATCTTTCACACACTACATTTAAGAACGGTTATGAATGTTCCCTTACTTGATAGTAACCTACCATCTCTTCATATCAATTTAGGTCTGATGAATTTTGTGACAGCCGTGGACAGAAAAGGAACACAATTTTTGTACTCGGAGGGAAACTTTCAAAAGTTACAGACAGAATCTTTGTTAGACCACCTAAAAGAGAACTAATAAAAGATAGATATTTTTAAGGAAGATTAATACCCTTATAGAAATGTGCATCCTTCAAAAATTAAGTGCGACACTATTTGCAACAAGAAATCTGCAACTTTAGGGAAGTAGTAAAGCAGTTACTGAAGTTTTACGAAAGTATGGGAGGTAATTTGTTTCACTTTCTTCTCTCTCCCTTGTTTTCTTTCTCAAAATTCTGGCAACTGTTAGCAATGAGTATGCACTTTTATCGAGATATTTTACCACACTGTTCACTTTTTGGACAGTGTGATAAGGAACCAAAGACTATGAAGCTCAAGTACGTTGGAAGATTAGGAGACTCTCAAAGTGACGTTCCTGAGTCAATTAACATATTTTACGAACATTAAACATTTTAAAATTCTTTAGTGTAAATGCTTCAACTGCAAAAACAATTCAAAACTGTCGCAAAAACTTAACATAATCGAGAAAAATAACTTTTATTTTTTTTATTCAGTGTAAAATTTCCTATACACAGCAGCCAATAAAGTACTTGCGGCAGAAAGTTTAATTTTTTAGACCAGAATAAACATTGTTGCCATCTGCAAAGCACACAATCAACATAACATGTCCATAACAATCAGGAAAGCTGTGTAAGTTTGCCTAGTTTTAGTCCTCTGTGCAATCAATCACAAGTTCACAAGCACTTTTGCGAGACTACTGATATGAGGTTTAACGGAAAACGTTGTACAAATACTGCAATGGGAATAGGTTAATTCATTCTCAGCCATGCTCTTTTCTCTAAAAATGCATTCCAGATTTATTACATCATGTGCCGTTATACTATTCTTTTATTAAGTTGAAAAACTTAATAAATTAAATTCCTGACTTATACTATTACCTAATCTTACAAAAGTATATAATAATAATAATAATAATAATAATAATAATAATAATAACAATAATAATAAATGAACAATAATCTTTCTTGCAAAAAAGGTGATCTGCCTAAAAAATTGAAAAAGTTTATGCAAAACATGAATGCCTCTCAAGATGTAAAATTTCATAAAGAAGCAATCAAGGTTAGTGTATTGATTAGCAAGAAATTAATTGCAGGGAAGTACATTCATTACACTGATCAAAGAGAAAGAGCAAAGAAGGAGAGGTCAAATATTAATTCAATGTTCCAGAATAATAAGATATTGCAACAACTAATTAAGCACATAAATCATTCTTGAAGCTCTATTACAGTCTAGAAAGCATTCTTCAAACTTTAGAGGGCCTAAAACAAATTAAAATGAAATTTTAAAAAAATAATTCTTTTAATTAATAGGTTTATAATAACTTAAATTTATCAATATAAGTTAATCTTTATTGTTACTCACTCAAGGCAACTTTCTGGCATGAATAAGAATAATACTTAAGTTCAACATGACACTTCTGTATTAAAACTAATAGTTAAACAAAATAGTAAAAACATCTCAAAAAATTAAAAATCTGCCAAGGAAGATGCTCTCCCTTAAAGACAAACACATCATAAACAATTTGTGATTACATTGTCAATATAATCAAAGATTCTACTGAAGTAAACATTCAGACAGTTAATATGACACAAAAGCAGAGATGTTACTCACTAAAAATTGTATATGCAATTCTGGCACTAAGCATTAAACAAAATCGAACATCACAGACAAAAGCTATAAACTATCCCAAAAGCAAAAAACTGAAGCAGGACTAGGGGGAATCAGGTTACTCAAGAGTTCGATTTATTTATTCTCAGTTATCAGTTGCACTCAAATGAAAACTTGTTGTATATGTAATGCTGTTAATTCACAGGACAATTCATATAATTGAAATAATAAAATGATAACAATAACAGTAATTTTAAAAAAGCGCTGTAATTATTATGTTGTGCGATGCACCAACAATTTATCAATGAAAAATATAACAATAGGCTCGAATTGCAAACAGAAAAAACTTCTGCTTCTCAAAAGGAATCGTAAAGAACAAACATTTTTAATTTATTAAGATTGTATTATAAACAAATTATTCTAAGTGATGAAAAAGAAAATTTAAAAACACTTTCTTTATTTTTGCTTGGTATTTTTTTATAAAACTTTCCCATTTAAAAATATGACAAATAAAATTTTAAAATGAAAGATAATGTTTGTCTTAAAGTTCATTCAGAGTAACAATCATCTTTAGAGGAAACTTCAGATACCTGTGCACTGTCATCACTGAGAACAAGTACTGAAGGTGAGCGCATTACAGAAGATACTCGAGGAAGAAAAAATGGTGAAGAAGGAGCAGATCGTGGATTATTTGCAGAATTTGGAGGTTTTAATGATAAGCGACTCATAAGTGGGGTATAAGAAGGAGATGACTGGGAGGAGCGGATGGATAGTAAACCAGGACTGCTACGAGAACTAAGATTGCTTCGTGATCCGGTTAACTTCTTCAAGTTTACAGATCGGAAGCCGAGCAGCTCCATTTCATGGAACTCACGAGTTAACTCCTGCTCCAATTTCTACAACATGCAAGGACAGGTGACCATATTTAATAATTTTATGGTTAGTGCTTATAGTAGATGAATTGAATCTTTATTGCAGCATATTGATCAAAAAGGTGAGCAGTATTCTACAAAGTCTCAAACCTTCAAAACTATGGCCTGTACTAGTCATAGCGATTTGGATCTTCCCATGACTTTGCCAGGATATTTATCACAAAATCTTATTAGACAAGAAAAGCAAAGAAATTTATCTATATTGTAGAACAGAGGTAATTTTATTTACATCTTTGCCAAGCCCCAGCACTACACTTCATTTGGATCTTGTAAAAAAAAATTATAAATGAAATTTAGTGATGAAAGTATCAATAGAATTTTGTAATTAGTTGTATCTGTATAGACAATTATTAAAACCAAACCATTAGCTGATAAGTTTTTGCAGGACATAAACATAATACATAATTTTTGTATAATTACAAGAATATTTTATAGATTCCAGGTTTGCCACTTATTCATTCCGTAGAGAGAATACATTCAATAAAAGAATAACCCATCTGTGAATTAATTTATGAATAAAAACACTCCAGAGAGCACACAAGACATTGCTTTACTTATCTCTGATTTTTTAAAATTTGCATCTTCAACACAAGAAAAAGAAGGATGCAAGAATGAATTGAAGAAAAATAAGACAAAAGGAAAAGAACGAAAGAAACAAAAAATTTTTTAAGACCAGCATTTTTGGCTCTAATTTCTTCCAGAGGAAACAATCACCTGACATTCTACATAACAGTCTACCCTTCAGAACTAATTAATAAGCATTATGGCAAACTAAAAAAGTTTTATTGCTACTTCTAATCACAACAAACTTCAAACATTACTTGAAAATTAGAAGTGTAAAATATTTCTAAAAGGCAGAAAACACATGAATAGAAATTAATATTTAACAGAAGCAATTCACAATAGGAATATAATAATCTACAAGAAAACTTTAACCATTACATACCGTTTCCCTTAAAAAGAGTTTAAGGAAAAATTCAATAAAAATAACATACATAAAGAAGTTCATTCGACTATTTATGCCACTATCTAATGTTTTATTATTAAATAACAATTCATGCTCACTCAGTACATGCATTCATGCATATTGAATTACACACTTTTTACAAAGAGATCAACAAAATATACCTGTTTGCGGGGTTTCAGCTGACCTTTCCACTCTTTCAATTCACGGCTGTATGCTTCCTCTTGTTCTTTCAACTTCATTGTTTCATGCTCCATGAGCATTTTCCCTAGAGCAACATAAAGGTTGTTCAACAGATCAGATGAAGATTCAACCTGACATCAAGCAAGGGTGTGTGCAATCTCCGTAACCATTCAAAATTCATACAGATAAATTATTTCAGAAAGTATTAGAAGGTATGGGAGTGGGCACACAATGAAGTAGAAGTTTAAGCACACTATATAGTAATTATGAATGAATTAATCAAAAAAATGTGCTTAAGCTATTAAAAATAAAATACCTACACAACAATAGTATTTTTATTCATTAAAGGAAAGGTATTAATATCACCAACCCATGTCTTCTGGACATTGAGAAAAAACAAAGCAATGTTCACAATTGTATTTCATCAAAATGATTCATTGAAAGAATTTGTAAATTTTTATGCAGTAAATACTTATGAGTTTCAAAATATTTTTATTACAAAAATATATTATTCAAGTACAATTTTTTTTTCTCCCCTTTTCCCTTTTCCCTTTTTGGTAATGTGCAGGCATATAGTGATGCCTCTGGGTTTTTGTGGTCTAGTCAACTCTAGTCTCTTGCTCCTAAAATTAATGACATATAAGACTTCCTCAGTTATCATATTTTGAAATATACAAACTTAAACAATACCATGAAAGATTAAAAATAATGGATCGTCAAAACAACTTCTAAAGGTAAAAAAGTACTCAGCAGGATTTTCACAACATTAGCAGTTTCCTAGTATACTTAGGAAGATCAAATTTTGCATTAAGATACTGCCATTAAACACTTTGTATGGGCATTGTGAAGGAGACGTAGCATTAGGAAGAAGGTACCTTTCTATGGAGACTTCTCTTGATGTATTTGCAACAGACTATAATTACAGTAGTTTTCTCAGCACTCAAACAAGTATGGCATGAAACAGTTTGTGTGGTACAAATTGTCCAAGAAAACAAAAACTCAAACTGATTCAAAGAAATAAAAAGATCTCTACCCCTTTCAGTTAATAACACGTTAGATAAAGAAGACCTATTTTTCAAATAAAGGCCATTCTTTGATCAAGGGAACAATTCAATCCAGTGAGTGTCCAATCCAATGCATTAGCAGTTAATGCCATAAAACTTCAGGTGCCACTTTTTCAACAAATGGCTGAAGTGCTAGTAGTAAAGACATTGCAACTTCATATAATACACAAGTTGTCAATAAATTTGTGCTATTGGAGGTCTAGATCCATCTCCCTGCCAGACATCAGGTCATGCACTTTATGTCCCAAAGTAATTATTTTGAACTTGGGAAGGTATAAAATTAGTAAGTTTAATCGCTAGAAAGTCAATCACAGGTCACTAAATTATAGGAAACATTAAAAATTTCCTTTAAAAAGATGACAAAAAGAAGAATTTATTTAACGTACAAGGAAAGATTAGTTGTTAAAAATTGATAGATATCACATAAAGAAAGCATGGAACCAATCAGTAACGGTTTAGTATGCAATTAGTTTTGCACAAGTAATAATGTTTACTTCTAGTTCTTTGGTGAATTACTTTACTTTGATTTCACTTGAATCTGTAGACAATGTGCTGATCTTCGACCCAAAAGGTAGTGGGACATTGAAAGGGAAGTAAAAATAACTTTATACTTTTTCTAACATGATCAAATAACAGTTTATTTTAATTGCTTGATAAAGATGTAGGGATGGGTGATATAACTGCGATTAAATCGCCAATACACTCAATCAAAAAAATTGAAATTGATTATTTTTACCACTTAATGAACACATCGATTAATTTTATCAATGACTTCTTGGTTGTCCGAATGACGGACAATCGCTTTTCATAATTTTCTCTCTACTGTGTAAGTGGTAGCGAGAAAATAAAAATTAACCGTGCAAACGCTATCATCTGAACAACCAATATATCCCTCATGTTCGAATGCAATCTGGGAATTATGATCTCACAGAATCTGAAGTGATGTACACATGTTCAACATGCGACAAAAATAGCCAACAGAGTCTGTCAAGGTATTTAGTACGCAAGTACGTAAGTAAGTAAGTAAATGAATAAATGAGCATTCATTGTAAACAAAACATGAAACATTGAATAGGAAGTGTTTTTCAAATTTGGAACATAGAAAAAGAACTTACGTTTTTCATTTTGCAACTGTTCCAACTCTTTGATCGTGGATTCAGATGTTGCTCGCAGTTCTTCCAGTTGTTTTAGATGTTTTGAGTCAAATCGTAACTGCTCAGCCCTGTATCTTTTCTTTTCATTTTCCTGGAACTATATTTGAAGATTTTAATAAACAGTGCATTTAAAATGAAATTAGACACTAGAGATAATCTCAAATACCTTTTTAAGTCGATCCCTTTCCTCTTCAGGATCTGGTGTTGAGGATAAGCTGATTCGCATTGATTCTCTAAACATCATTTCCCGTGCTTTCATTTCTGTTCTGATCCGTTTGGGGAGAGCACGTTTCTCAACAGCCTGGCGTTTTAATAACTCCTCTTCCTTGCGCTGATTCATTCGTTTCATTTGCTCCAACTCTTTGTCATGTCGAATAAGCATCTATAGCAATACAACAAGATTGTAAAAGGAGTCAAAGTTACAGAGAAAAAATACAGTATTTTGTTTACAATTGTAAAAATTACGTTACATACTTGATGCCGCTGTAAAAAGAAGATATCTTTCAGTTGCCTTTTGGCTAACTGTTGTTTTTCATGTATTTGTCTTTCTTCAAGTTCCCAGAGGGCAGCTTCACGAGATCGCATAAGTTGTTGCTTCTGTTGCAAGAACTGTCGCTCCATTAATGCTATTTTCTCCCTGTGGGTATCATTGAGGCGACGTAGAGAAGATTCGTGGTTTTCATTCAGCTTTTCTAAAAACAATTTCTCCTAAAAAATAAATAAAAAAGAATAAGAAAATTTTTCATCAACAATATTTTTAGCCATAAATAATTCATCTCAATCATAAACCTAACCTTCAAAGGTAGCTAGAATAACAGTATCATCAATATTGGTTCATTACATTCAAAGATTATCATGCTGTCACTAGACAAATTGTTTCGTTATATACAAGAGGCTTTCAAAAAGTTACCAGAATGATAATTCGCATGTTAATGTTATAACCTATACCAAAAGTAACCGATAGAACCACAGTGCACCTATACACTTGCTCCATCATTTATGCCTTTGTTGGAAGCAGTGGTAGAAGGATTTTTTGGCACCAGTCGGAGCTGAGCCATTGCATTCAGTTTCATGTTCTCCACAGTTGCAAAATATCTCCCTTTCAGTCCCATTTTCAGATTAGAGAAGAAGCAATGCTACTGGGTGCGAAATCCAGAGAGTACGGTGGTTGAGGGAACAGAGGAATGTCCTTGGCAAGGAATTTCTACACAACAAGCGATGTATGGCTTGGCACTTTATTGTGATGCAAACACCACTTTCCTTGCCACTTATGGAATCGCGCCCTTCAAATCACACCATGCAAACTCTGTAAAACTTTGTCAGAAATTTTCAGAAAGAAGACTGCCCAGGCAGTATGAACTCATTGTGCACCAAACTGACGATATCAAAGAACGTAATGATAATCACTGACACCGCGTAATTTTTTTTTTGGGGGGGGGGGGTGATACTGGCTTGAGCCACTCTAATTACTGCAGTTCCATTTCCGGGTTGTAGGTGAACACCCAAGACTCAACAGTCTTAAACTACAGTTTTATTTAGAGCAAAGTAAAATTGCTACGGGGCCGATGGCATCTCTGTAGCCGATATTCCCAATTTGCACAAGAACTTGATGTTTGCACTCCGTTCAAACTGCGACATTAAGCTTGCAGACCACCACTTCCCTCCACTTAACAAAGCAGTGACACCACTGCATAATGAAATGCGTCCAGAGCAATTTTGCCAGCGTGCAAACATGCCCAGAATCCTACCATAAGAACACTGCCATATCATTACTTTGGAGTCGGCAAGACAATCTGAGAACTTTTTGAATGCCCTTTGCATTAGAATCGATAAACGGTTTATTTATATAACCTGAGGGCATACTCCCGGTGACCAAAACATAACAAAAGCTCATACAAACATAGGTCTGCAAACACTTTGTTTGGAATGTAGGTACATACATATGTAACCAGTTGCAATCGCATACGTATGTATATATGTATTACATACATATATACATACACAGTTTCTTAAAAAAAGTTTGAATTTTTTTACAAAAATAAATTTTGTTCCCTACTAAGGAATAATCTCACAATTGCAACTGGTTACAGACTGTCACTAATTATGAAAAATAATGTATATCTGTAGCTTAGTACAAGCTTAAGCCAATATAAATCCAAGGTGATATTACAGTAGGATTGACTTCTGACTTCAGTCATTCTTGTACTGAAAGAGGAGACTATAAAGCACGCATTGGCCTTACAAACTGAAAATCACTAAAACTGACATTAGCCCTTTTTTGTGACCAAGCCACATAGCTTTATTCACATTAGCACATTAGCTTTATTCTTTTGTAGTTAATACCACAAAAGAATAAAGCTTTGATTTCTAATTAGGCATGTACCTTGCAATATATGTAGTACACATACACCAGCAAAACGTGAAGTATTACTCACCCTTTCTTCATGTTCAGCCTCCAACTTTTCCTTTTTAACTCTAAATGCTGTCTTTCTCTTATCTTTAGGCATAAGATCTACTTCTTGTTTCAAAAGACGCAGTTCTTGTTTCAAGCCTTCACGAAACTGTTTTAATTCACGTTCCTTAAAAAAAATGTGACAAGTCATAAACAAGTTCAGAACAAAGCGTATGCAATTAAAATAATATATTGCACCCAACACATTTGCAAGCATATATACTGTAATCTGAACCATAGTTTCCCACATCATGAAGATAGTATTGTGAAGTTTGAGCAAGAGGGGCAAGTTAGAAACTCCTCTGCATAGGATTACTAATGTTTTAAGGATATGCTCTCAAAAAACATTTTCCAAATAGGGCATTTTTATAAGCAATAACTGGTGATGCTATGTCCTCCTAGTACACAGCTGTAGTAATTTATTAATAAAGAAAACAAACTAACAATAAAAAAACAAGTTAAGCACATGACAGGTGAAAAAGCACAAGACTTTTACACAAGCACAAAGTTTTACTCGATTTTCACAATTTTCCCGTTTGGATGGCACAAAAAGGAAAAAGACAATGTCTGCTTGGATGTCTATCAAAATTTCTCTGATTCTCTTTGTCTTGTGACAAGCAGTATGACTAATGTGTTTAATATTCTCACTCAACAAGTTAAATATTCTGTAGCTATTATAATTATGATTACACCTACCAAGTTGTTTTTTAACTATAGGGGGTACTATTAAAGCAACTCTTTTGTCGTGCACATCATCGCATTTTTGTTTATGTATCAGAAAATTTTTGATTGGTCGGTCAGTCTTATTAATTAACAACATGTGCAACAGCATATATATTACAAATTAATATTCAGACTGCTTAAAATGTTTGAGATATTATCTTTCTGCAGGAGAGTCAATCTCAGGGCTAAAGTCAATGCAGTGCTTGAGGTACCCGTTTCTTGCATCGTTGTTGGAACAATGTCAGTCCTACTGTATAAAACATTAGGTTTACGCACGCACACGCACCCCCACCCCCAAATTACCCAAGATTACTCAAAAAATACTAATTTTCTTTAGATTCATTACAGAGGAATTGAGAAAAGTATGCTTAGTAACACTAACCCTTTTTCAATAAAACTTTAAATTTCAATATTAATATATCATTTCCTTGAAAGAACAAAGGTATCTTATTTTTTGGAATTCTGAAGATAACAATTAATTTTACAATACAACAATTTTAATTACTTGTTTCAGACAGGGATGCACAGTTTACACTGTTGTTACACTGTTATCAAAAGCAATAGAAACAGACTGTAGAGCCTAATTTCTGGACAGTTCACATGATGAACAATTTTTAAAAAATGACCAGTAATAGTATTTAATATAATGGTTTTCACATCAATTAAAATTAAGTTATAATGGCTCTGCTTTTGTTTTTTTCAAAACAGGGATTTTGGTTATTATACATAGCACCCTATTTATGGATGGAGAGCATTTATCATCTGATTTTTTCTCAATCCATTTTTCAAGGACTTTTCAATGTGTCAAGGACCCACAAAACATGAATTCTGACTATACAATGTGTTTGAAGAAGTAATTTACTACATATAGGGACAAGACTTTTCCACCTATTTGTTACCAAGACCTGGCAATAAGAATTTTTCTGTTGAAATTTCACCATTTTTTCCCTGCAGCATTACAATACTTTATATATACTGCGTAAGCAGTAGCGAGAAAGTAAAAAGTACCATATTAATGAACCTGAATTGTCAGTCACTTTCCAATATGTCTTGTGTTAGCAAATAGCAAGAGTGTGAAACCGGTGATTCGCATTAGTGCCACTCTGGTGTAGCAAGCGCACCAATGACCTTGACTGCACATGTCACACATACTCTTGAGCAAGTCAAGGGTGAAAGATGAATCACAGGCTCTTCATAATGTGGTTTACAGTGGCTGCTTGTCATTAGAAATTTTACAACTCTCAACATTACCTGCTCAGCACGTATTTTCTTGGATGATACACGTAAATCAGCTTCCTGTTGGGTTTCGGCACGTTCCACCTGTTGTCTTTGCTGACGAACCATTGTATCCATATCTTGTTCGTACGTTCGAAGCAGAACGATTTTTTCTTGATCAAACCTTTTGTCCTGAAAAAGTGATCAAACTTTACTAACGCTTTGCAATGTAATGATGTAGTTTTTTCAGTGCAAGGTTTTGCATACTACCTGTTGGTCTTTTGCAAAATTAGCTTTGAAAGATAAATCTTGGAATTGTTTCTGTTCTTGTTTTTGCAGCATCTTCAGTTCTCTCAATTCTTGTTTCCTATCATACATACATACTACATGTAAAAGGAATCTTAAGAATAATAAACAAGACAACTTATCAAAAACTGCTTTAAGGAGTTAGTGGCATATGTATTCCCCATACCTGAATATATGATCATCATACACTTTTCCATTTTCATCATCTCCGTAAATAACTTTGCTGGTGGTAGTGGTCACAACAACACCATCGATTTCAAATTTGCGAGTTCTCTTACGAGTTTTCTTTTTCAAATGCATGATCTGCAAATCTTCCTTGGTACGTCCCGTTCGGCCACCCTCCTGCTGGAATGTAAAATTGTTTGTAAGTCATTTTCTGACTAGATATACAATAAACAAAATCAGCTTTTACAATACCTTATTATAATCTGGCTTTCGCCTCAGGACAACTTCATCTTCAGATGGATGAGAATCTTGAGCCGGTTGATTTTCTTTGTTACTTTCTCTACTGTCCTGACTAATAGTTGTAGACACACTTTCAGCATCAGACCTAGCACAAATTAAATATATCAGAAACAAAATTTTAAAAATGACTTACTTCCATAATGAAATGTGTCCTAATGATATAATTAAGAAATAGAAGTGAATACCTATCAATGACTTTCTTTCCACTGGGAGGGGGTGTCTCCAAACCAGTACTTCCCCCACTAGAATCAGAATCACTGGGTAAAACAGCATCACTCTTGGGCCTGCCTGCATATGGTTTAACCTTGTCCTACAAAAACAAAAGGACAATTAGGGCAATAAATTCAGTAATATGTCTAAAATAGAACCTGACAGCTACTCCAAAAATTTTCCATCTTGCAGATTTCCAGTGCTACAATTTCACTATGCAAGTCTAGAACTTCATTTTCAATATAACATCAATGAATCAAAACAATGGAAATAGAGCATCATTTATACTAAAATAATATTATAAAGAGAGGAAAAGGGTCAAGCAAACAGCAAAGCAAAGTTAAAGCACTTATATTTATTTTGCAAGGTGAAGAGTAGGCTTCATTAGTTTAGTTTCCACATCTTGTTTAGTAGCAATTACAAAAGTACATTGTCAAAATTGACCATGTCCTGAGCATCATTCCACATTTCTATCTCTCTACATGGACTAGCAATAGTTGCAATATTTGTTTTATTGGTTATTCAGTGTATGTTCGTAAATTCAGAAATCCTACTTTTTACAAATATTCTTTTACAATCCCTAGAGATTTTTCTTCAGTTTGATGAATTCAAATAACTTCTTTCAAAAGGATTTAATTAGTTATTTCCAAGGCATTTAAACAAAACCCTATTTTGGTAAATAGTATTTGCAATACAAATTTCTTATAAGATGATTTCTACTTTCATGAAATATTGGACCATAGACTCAGGGATTGAAACACAATAGGAGGGAAATATCAATTTTTTATATTTAAAAGATACAGTTTTTGGAAGACTTGTTGGAATATCTGGAACCAGAATACGTTGGGATTGTCATTATTCATTTGTCTCTAAAATTTATTAGCACCTTTTCCATTATTAAGCAAGTCATCCACACATCATCCAAATTCCCAGCAGAGAAGAGCAATTTGAATTACACAACACTCACAAACGCATGGATTTTTGCAATACCTTCTGTACTATCATTTTACCACTTCTAGTTGACCATTATAGATTGAAAATGGAATGATAGGATACATTTTCTGTAAACCTTGAATTATGCTTTCTAATACACTAGACAGTCCATTTCTGTGGCAATAACCAGTCCCACTTCCAGTCTGGAAGTTAGTGGAAGTTTCCTTTGGTCACAACCCCAGAAACTAGATGTCATTGGCAAAACCTTCATTGGATAAGTGAATTATAAAACTAGAAAAGAAGCCATTACAGTTTGGATCAGTACAGAAAATATTACACAGGCACAAAATAAGCCAGTTGCATTCCAATGCAACTGCATTGCAATGAAACTCACCATAGTTTTTTTACTCAATCTTTGCTTAGGTAAGGAGTTGCCGAGTCATCATTTAGGACTTCCATTATTACTTTTCCTAACCCTTAACAATACTTTTGACTTTCAATGATTATCAGATATTACAAACAATTTGAAACCACCTCCATGTGTAATTATTTTATGGGAATTATGCCATTCTTTTAACAGGCCTGCCCATACACACGTTACAATCTTACTTCAGTATACATCAAAGTAGATAATAATAGTGCAACCGGCCCAAAAAAGTAAACATAGAAATAGTTCTTCAAAAAAAGGATGACTAACTGCCACTACGATTTATTCTATACACAAGTGACATCAATGATTTCTTACTGAAACATAATTAGAAAAGCCTTTTCCACCTTATAATAACTTGTAATAAAGAAAATCTAAATGCAGATGTGGAAGATGCACTACATGCAAAAGACATGCTCCATTTCGAGAAATGCCTACCAAAAAATTCTGAAAGAATATCATCAATTGTCATGTGAAGAAAGGTGTCATGAGACATTGTTTTAACATTAGACCAAAGGAGGAAAAAAAGAGATACAGTGGAGGCCTACAAGATTCTGTATAGGCTCTGTAATATTATCTAATATAAGGCTTCACAAGCGCTCCCAAACAAAGCCATAGAGGGCATTATTTAAAAGCTGTGGAAGGTTGGGTGAAGTCATTGATTACATTTTATTGTACAAGGTATACAACTTTGCTTCCGCCGTTTTTTCCTCAAAAATATGACCGTTTATTGAACAAAATGCTTAAACAGATATTATTCAAAGTAATGTCCATCGCTGGCCGAAATTTTTCCATCTTTCTGGCAGTGTGGAATGCCGCGTCGAAAATTGTTATCTTTGAGGCGATCCACGAATCAATCACTTTTTGACACTTTCAAAAATCGGAATGTTGCCAGCCACGTCGTGGCCATTATCGGACAAGTGATTTAGAGGAAGAAGCGTCTGGCGAATAAGGCGGTGGGTAGAGCGTCCATTTCTAAGTTTCCAGGTATTGTTTTGACATCTTGCAACGTGGGCCTAGACATTGTCATGCAGCAAAATCACACCTTATCTGCCTCTCGTGTATGCGGGCGTTGTCTTTCACATGCTCGGTCAAACGCATTAATTGCGTTTGATATCATCACCTGTGATTGTTTCACTTGTTTAAAAGCTCGTGGTACACGACGCCGAGTGGTCCCACAAATGCAGAGGCATGATTGGACCATGAATGTTCGGTTTGGCCGTCGAGTGGAATTCATGGCTGGGATACCCCATGATTTTTTCCGTTTAGGGTTATCGTAATGAACCATTTTTCGTCCCGCGTACAAAAACAGATGCAGAAAACCATTCCGTTTTGGCTCTGAAGCAACTGTTCACAAACACACGCTTTTCAATGTCTCTCGGTTTCAACTCATATGGGACAAGTTCCTTCTTTCTGAATCATATCCATGGGCTTTGAGAGTTTTGAAATGGCTTACTGTGTCACCCCAATGATCGTGCGCAGTTTTCTTGAGTTTGACGCGAGTCTTCGCTCAGCAATGCCTCCAATACTGCATCTCAAAAACTTTCACTCTTCCCGCCACTTATCCCGGTCTTCACGTTAAAGTACCCATTCCTGAATCGTTGAAACACTCGCGCACGTCCTCTCACTAATACAGTCTCAATAAGTACTGGGAGCATTCGATGAGACTCAGCCGCAGTTTTCTGCCTATTGAAACAAAAAAGCAGACTCCAAAATGACGAGAATTTGGCTGTACACTGACATTTTCAAATCGCGAACAACGTTACGTTGCACACACAATTCACTAATGTTTGAATGGGGTTACGTTGCCGAAGCTTAACAGGCTAACTGCCTGACGTCTGCGTTGTTTTCGCGACGTTACTTACCACTGTAGCCAGCTATTGAAAAACGGCGGAAGCAAAGTTGTACACCTTGTATATCAAGCTGTGTATAAGAGGAATGCTCTCTCTGCATACACTATTTACAAGGATACTGTTTGCCTTTAAGAATATCATCACTATTATTGCCCATAACAGCCATAGAGCTGAATAAATAACATGGCAGGACATGAATAAAGAGACACTACTATAAATTTTTATTGGTGATAACAGACTTTGATAATTAGGACATGGCAAATGTTTGACACATTAATTGTAAGATTTACGTCTGTGTCACTTCTTTGCTGCTACCATGATTTAGTTATTAGTAATAATAATTCGTTAGCTCTCTTTTTGCTATGAAAAAGACTTAACTAAATTAAATACCTAACTAAAATTTCATCACAGCCTGCATATCACCACAATTTTATGCACCTTTCCAAGACTCAAAGCACTGTTGTAGACTTGGGAGATTTCACATTTTATGTGAACAGTGAGTTTACAATTGACAGCCAGCTAGCAGGATAAGGTATTAAAGGCCAAAACTCAGGCATGGTGACAGGATTGGGCATGTTACATTGCTGTTGAAGGGAAGAGAATCGTAGAAAAGAAAATGGAAAAAGATTGCTATGTAGAAATAAAGCATTGCTCTACAAAATGGCTTTAGATACATATGCATGACATTTGTCCATCATTGGCAGGCAACTTGTATTGCATTAGTAGTTGGCAAGTCATGTTCGGAAGCAGTCAAGATGTCTTTTACCCACAGCATCAGCCGCCCAACTTGTGTGGCAGACTAGTACATTCAAAACATCCATTAAACATTAGTCGAAAAAAATCAAAATTACTCAAAACAATGTTTATCTAATGTATAATAATATGTATATCATTGGATTCGTCTTTTAATGCTCGTTATAACAGACCGAATGTATAGTTCCATTTGAACAAACGAAGTTACCTCAAATATCTCATAAAATACAAGTGATAAAATAGAAATGCAAACATGCATTAAATAGCCTCATTCTCTAATGCACTTCCATGAAAACTGCATTGCAATAACTTTAACTGTTCAAAAGTTACAGTAGGTGATAAGTTACATAACTCACCCTGTACAACAAATATAGAGCATGATATTCATGTGACGCAACTAATGGCAGACAACAAAGAATGGACAAAATACAGTAAACACTTATGGCATGCTGATGAAGGAAAGGAAGAAGAAGAAAAAGGAATATCTAATAGGCCAGTCTTTCATACTGCAGTCGATAAATTAAAATCTATTTAAGTGGAAGAAGCACTAACCAATACTAAATATAAGAAAACACCAGGGCTCGATAATATCAATATAAAATTACTTCAATATCTCCCAGCTGAGACAAAATCTAAACTGTTAGATCTATTTAACAATTGCTGGACACACAGCATAATACCAACAGAATGGAAGACTGCTCTAGTTATCGTTATATTTAAAAAAAGATTATGAACAGTACGCGAAAACTATAGAGGTACGAGTGTGCTAAATGCAACTTATAAAATGTAAGCTAAAATCATTCATAAAAGAAGAAAATAATGGAAGCAATAACTTTTGAGAAACACTCAGGATTCAGAAAAGGGAGATCATGTTCTGATAAAATGTTCGTGTTAAAACTGTTGATTGAAAAGAGACGAGAATTCAATCTACAAACATGTATGGTCTTCATAGACTATGCAAAAGCTTTTGATAACTTTCTGAGGGGAAAATTATGGTCAATTATGGACAGGAGAGGCATACCAAAACATCTCATCGAAGTTATTCGAAATACGTACAAAGACACCCAAATTACCGTCAGAACAAAATGAGGTAAAATCTTCAAAGAATTTATAAAATAAAAAGGAGTGAGACAAGGGTGCTGAATGTCACCCACACTTTTTAATATTTATCTTGATGTTGCTATCAGAATATGGAAGCAGAAGATGAAGTTTTTAAATGTTACAGATAATTTTAATAATAAAAATTGTTTAATGACACTTCTGATCCCGGATGACCATGTTTTGATATCTGATAATGAAGACAGTCTACAAAAGAGCTCTATATGAACTGCAGATTATCACAAAAGAATGTAATTAAGAGATATCTATCCAAAAAAGTAAGTCAATGGTATTTCAAGGGAAAAACCAATTTGATATAAATTACTGGTTAATAATCAAAATATTGAACAAGGAAGTTCATTTAAGTTTCTGGGTTGTGATCTGTCTTACAAAGGAGAAACTGCTGTAGATAACAAAATTGAAAAATTTAATAGAATGTGTGGAACTATTAGGAGGACATGAAAAAGTCAGGAAAGATACAGTAATAAAATTTTATAAAAAAACCTTAGCAGTTCCTTGTGGGCTATATGGATCTGAAATCTGGAACATGGACACAAAAATTAGAAGTAGGATTCGGCTGACGAAATTTATTTTTTAAGGGGTTGTACTGGAAAGACATGATTCAAAATGAAGAGATATGTAACTATCTAGGAATTTATAATTTAAATGGAAAAATTGAAAAATACAGGAAAGCATGGAGAGACCGTATTCAGAGAATGGAGGACACACTAATACCAAAACAGATTCTGAAATACAGGGCAAGAAGAAGGAACTTCGGAAACTGCAGAGAAGATTAATGGACCAATACAGAAGCGCAACGGAATGAAAGTTCTAATACTTGAAGAAGAAGATGATAAAAAAGGATTATATTTTATTTGGAAAGGGGACATGGCTGTTGTTCTGGCTAAGTGAAAAATGTAAAAATTCCTGCAAATTTTTAAAAAAGATACTATAAATTTTGTACAAATAGGAATCAATTCCCATCAACAGGAACATCAGCTAGTGTATTACAATTTTCCCATTCATTATTATAGTCCATTCATTTAAAGAACATTTTAATACAAAGAAATTACATTGAACTTCAATTGTATATTTTCTGAAACACATACCTAAACTTTTATACTGAATCAATTTGCAAACTAATATCAGAAATTTAATGGTAAAATCATCTAATTATTTTGTTTGTTTGGCAGCTTTCATTTAGATGTGTTAAGTTCATATGTTCTTTCCAGATCTTTCCTTCCATTGTAATATCTTCTGGTCCTGCATGGTTTTAACACTTTTTTTCTCACTGCTAAATTTATTACATGGCTATTTAGTATATGTGAACAGTGAACATGATGTTGCCAAGGAAAGTTTAAGGAATTTAAAGACTTCAGGTTCCAAGAGTTAAGAGCAAGCAGCATTGCGTAGTTTTGTAAGCTGACATGACCAAAGTCAACTCGCACAGTTCTCACTCACTCATTCTGAGGTTCAAAACAGTAAAGGGAGTGGCAATTATCTTCGTGTTTTACATCAAGTGTTAGCCAAATAGGACCTCAAGCAGTGGTTAGCTGATTTCACAGAACATAAGAGTTTAATAATAACCAGGCTCTTTGAGGCAACAATAATGAAATAAAAAAATTATTGTAATCATGATAATAGAACAATTTTATTATTAACCTAAGTTAAATAGCATAAATAAAGCAATTCTTAAGCAAAAATGTTGCCAACTCACTCTTTGCACATTTGTGGAACTGTTGACAACAATAAAAACCTCCTCCCCAGAATCATGTCTAGCTCTCACTGCTTCTCCATTCTGTTTTTTATTGGGCACAGAGTCTTTCTTGGAAGAATCACCAGCTCCTTCGACCATTATAGATGTTCGCACCAAATCATCTTCAGGCCCTTCGAAAATCAAAATCAATAAAACTTTAGAAATACATTCACTTTAAAAATATAGCAAGGAAGTAAAATCAATTTTAATCTTCTAATTTCTAAAATAACAGGTACAATTCAATTATATGAGAGTTGGGGGTAAAAGTAAACTTTATTTTATTTCTTACAAATTATTATATGCCTCAAGGAACAATTCTGGGACCACTTATATTTATATTTTATATAAATGACATTTTTAAAACAAGCACAATACAGATAACGACGAAACTTCTAGCTGAGTTAAAGTTAACTCATTAAGATTGAGAACCAACTGTTGATGCTCGAAGCCATACTGATTAATTTAGTGAGAATCACATAATGCTTCTCATGGCCACCAATGTGTTAATTTGATTTCTTTTGCTGATGATATGAGTATAATTATTAAGGGTGAATCCTGGGAGGAAAGTATTAGTGAATCAGTAGTTACATTGTCTTGAATAGGGAAATGGCTACATCATAATTTTCTGAGCTTAAACATGGACTGGACAGGGAAATGGCTAAGTCATAATTTTTTGAGCTTTAACATTGAGAAGACTGTATTTATAACTTTTGGTACTTATCTGGATAATATATCAGAGACATGTGTTATTAAGTCTCATAAATGAAGCTGTGATAATTTACACTATGATTGTTCAAATATATTGACATTTGGAAGTTTCCAATCATGTAAGATTTTATATTGACCAAAATTTAAAATAGAAATACCCTGAGTTATATATATGTCCAAAGTAAATCTGTTTTGAATAAAGTTGTGGGCAGCCCCTGGAGCACTAATGCCAAAATCCTTGAAACTATTGCGTCAGAAAGAGAAATCATTGTTTTTCACAATATTGAAGAAGATCCACTTTCTAGTTCGAAGTCATTAAATGGTGCATTAGAGCTCAAAAATTTTTTAACAAAATTTCAAATTTCTGCAAGAGCACTGTTACGATTATGTCATGAGGTACTAATCTAATAGAAAAGATTGGCGAATCAACTTGCTTTATAAATGAAGGTAAGCTTTTGCTTAACTTAACAAGATGCCATTCTGTAACAGGGGTGAATCCAGGAAGTATTTCAGAAGTGGGCCGTAAACAATTCAGTACTTTTCTCCATTAAAATGACACTTTTATAGAATTTGAATATCTTAAAATCACATCTGTGAGAGCTTCATAGAAGAAATGCTTTGAAATGTAATATCAGAGAGACAATTATTTTGAACTGAATAAAATTACAAGAAAATTGGATTGAGGAGAGGCATGGCCCCCATGCCCTCTTCCTGGAATCCGTTGCTGTTAAGTAATTTGTTTTGCCTACTCTGAACATTTGTTCACATGCTCCCACTGATAAAATCCAACATTCTATTGGTATTAGATACAATGTATTCAACATGCAGATTAAAATATAATTTAGCATTAAAACTTTGATTGATTCTAGAAACTAAACAACTACTGATAATTTACTATGCTTTAGTCTGGCCAATTGTTACTTACAGTATATTACCTTGAAGTAGAGTGTACATTAGTATCCCTAAAAAACATGCTAAAAGGAATTATCAAAATTATGTATAAAAAACATACACTACACCCAACAGTCTTTATACAAAAAAAATAATGTGATAGATATAAAACATTATTTTATTGAAAAATCATTATTGTATAATTATGTGTTGCTTCAAGATTAACGTTTGTATATCAGGAGCACCAAAAAACACATAAGAACTTAGCACTCAGAGTGAATATTTTTCAGTTTAGTAATCTCGGCATTATGATTGACCCAAAAATTAGATTTAACTTGCATGTTGAAGGAGAAGTGAATAAATCCAATTGTATGTTAGATTTTGTAAGGCATTGAGTTTCCAAATCCATAGTCATTAAAACTATACACCACACTCATAAGTCCTATGATATTTTGTTATATGCATCTCAAGTTTGGTCACTTTCTCAATGATCACATATTTCTAAGCTCGAATCTGTTTAGCATAAATTTTTCACATATGCTGCTTAGGGGTCGTCCATAAAATACATAATGCAAATTTGAATCATTTTAAATACCCCCTCTCCCTCTGAAACGCATCTGTAATGTGCACTTGAACCTCATCTAAATAATTAAGCAATGCTTGTGAACCCTCTACCATTTACAAAACGAACAAAATATGCAATAAAAACAAACTGTATTAATTTTATTGTGTTATACATTAAAATTAACGATAATTAATCGATACTGACTGCAACTAAAAAACGTTTGGGGGACTATTTTTACTTGAAGGAAGCATTAGCGAGAAAATTTCTGACTAGTGCATAGTGTGAAGGAATGATGCTCGGGCAAGAACCCACTGCATCAATTTAATTGTATTCTAGAATACACAATAGATCAGTTTCAAATGTCTTCTTTGTAATTGAAGATTCAATCAACATACCATTGATGAAAATATATTTTCAATTATTGTAAACATTTATAAATTACAACTTTTTCATTTATTTATATTATGGATTTAATTTGTCAGTTTTAATGTTTTGGTGTATGTCAGTCAGGATGTCGTTGGAAGCCTCTGGACATGTTAATTCACAAGGCCATTCTCCTCCTTATAATGCCTTTCTTTCGCTAGGGCTGATTTCGGAGATGATTTTAGCAGTATCTACATTTGGTTCTGAACCTTAACTTAATATGTTGATGCTGTTATGGCTCACTGGTCTCCCAATTGTATGAGTTAGTTTGGGGTTTTGCTATAATAAAAATGATTATTCTCTGGTTTCTGATTAGTGCCCTCTATTAGGAATGACCGGAGTTGGTTTCCTAAATTCTGTGTACATCACTAGAAGGTGCTTCAAGGAGAGTTGGGAAGTCATTCTCCCTGGAGAGATTGCTTCACAAAGAGAAATTTATGGTCACACTGACTCTTTCTCATCCCTGTTTACTTCTAATTCTAAGCTGAATTCCTTGACATCCCATTAGATCTTCTATTGCTCAAACTTTTTTTAACTATTTTTACTTGCCTTTCAGTGGTTGAGTTGTTCGAAGTTCTCAATGTTTCTGCATTCAGTTACAATTAGATTTGCTCCAAAATCTCTAAGTTATATCTCAACTAATATATCAAGCCTTCACCCCAATAAATCAAGTGACGAGAAGTGGAAACATGGAATTTAGTTAAGGTCCTTCCCAAATTGATACATGGGCATAGTGCCAGGCATTCCATAATTACATGATAAAAACATATCTATCAGGATTCAAACCCACACCCCTCCATAATCCAACTTGACTTTACTATCTAAGCTACCCAGGGTGGCTAAATCCCTGTTTTAGTTCAGCCTTGGAACAATTGTGGATGAAACAGTAACATGTTTAAGAAGAAAATCAGACTGAGGATCAAAATAACCAGATGAATTAACAGATCATACAAAAAGCGACACTCTGGGGGAAAACGTGTATGTCATCCAATAAAATTAATACCTAATAAGCAAGTTACACAAAAATGATTAATGGCAAAACAAAAATTATTAATGATCTCATAAATTTAATTGGGAAACATCACAAAATAATAACGGAAGAACTTACCAGAATCACTTTTACTGCTTCTTCCCAGAGACAAATTTGAGACATCACTCTGTGATCCCTTAACATGATTTCCAGGTTGAATATCTCTGCTATCTCCACCAGCCCCTTCGTCTACCACTTTAGAAGAAGCAGAGTCTTTTACTTCTTCTTCATCTTCACCCACAGTTACTACAGAGACATGACTGGTATCTTTAAGCCGTTTAGTATCAACAAATTCATCATAATCAGGTGCTGCTCGATCTCTTTCATCAACTATGCTAGGACTTACAATCAGAACTTCACTTTCATCTAGTTTCTGTGCTTTCAAAGCTGTTTTATCACACAATCTGCCAACTGAATGGTCAATACCGGTATTATGGTATTCCAGAGAATCCATTAGAGGATAACTGTCATCATCAGTGGAAGACTCATTAATTTGAGTCTTATTCATTTCATTCGCCACAATTACAACTTCCCCACTCTTCTCTAGCAAAGGTATTTTAGAGGCAACTCCAGGCGTTTTAATGGGTGTTGAACTATCTATTGGAGGGAGAATGACGGGAGGATGTGTTGTAACAACAGTCACCTGAGTCACATTTCCTGAAGCAATACTCAAATCCTCCCGCAAGTCAGACGTAATAGTTACCATGGATTTATTTAACTTATGTTCTGATGAAGGTTCCTTGATTTGCTTAGATCCTAAAAAGCAAAAAAATAATGAAAATTACACAAACAACAAAATTAGAAGCAATTCCCCATCATACAAATTTGTCAACAGTACCTGATACTGTGATGACATCTCCACTAGTATGCGAGCTTGCTATTTTGTCTTCAGTATTGGGATCTGAAATGGTTTTAAGGGAAATATTGGTTTTACAATTTTCTTTGCTTGCACTAAGGTCATCCTGGTCAATCACTTCTTCCCTAGAGGAATCCCTGCTGAGGCTGGGACGGATTGGAACTGCTTTCTTGTCTTTCGATTCTGCATTGTCACTAGACACTGTCATTGATAAGTGCGGTGAAGACTCCTGACTTGAGGAGTGGATGCTTACATTATTTTGATTAAAGTTTTCACTTTGGTGATGCTGGACGGATGTCTTGGGCATAAAAAGAGTTTGGGTTGCATTTTCATCTCGCCTGTTGGCTAGAGATTCAGGTTGAGAGGCTGAATTCACTTCATCAGCGTCTTCTGTTTCATCTTGTGTCACACCACTGATTTCTGATATAAGAAGTTGCCCAGGTGGTAACACAGGAGGTGGTACACTGATCTGAGGCAATTCTTCTACCTCCTGGTGACCGATGGCTATGCTTGATGGGGTGCTAGAAGGCACCGAAGCAGTTGCAGAAGCTGGTGGGGTCACAGGAGGTTGTTGAGGCACACCCGGAAGAACTGCTGCTGGCACACTGGGCAGTACTGTAGTAGGTGATGCAGGAGGAGTAGCAGGAGTCTCAGTTATCTTGACAGGCAGAACTGGAGGGGGAGGTGCAGGACCTTTGTCCCGAGAGACCCTCCTCTCCTGCCCTTCAGATATCTTTTTCGAAGCCTGTAAAGAAAAATTAAACACTTTAGTAATTATTAACAACCATTTCCATAAGGTCCTTCACCTCCATCTAATAAAAGATGGAGATTACAGACAGCAACAAAGGGTGTATGTTCTATTTAGATAACTTTTTAACTAATTTTAAACTGGTAAAAATAATTTGCAAAAATAATAAAATATTTCATGATTAATACCTTTTCGCTTTGAAAATTAGGTGAAAGACCAGAAAATTAGGTGAAAACGTGATTATAATACTTTTGCACCTTCCATTACACCTTATTGCACAATTTAATAAATTTATGGGTAGTGACAAATTGCACAGAGAAATAGTATTTCAATTTGAGGAGAAAATGGCATTTCACTCTTATCAATTTAACCCTCTGGAGAGAACATCTGTCACAGAAAGAGGTCTACTGATATCACTGGGAACACTAAGTTCACCAAGACGCTTCACCATTCTCAAGTGCTTCAGTGCGCTTATCACCTTCCAAGGAGAGGATCATCGAAACTGTGGTGTGTGACCTTTTCATGTAAACTATTATATTTTTAAACTACCAATGTCTCAGGCAATTGTTTCCACAGTTGTAGTTTTTGACGTCTGCTTTTTGTGCAGATTTTCCTACAGATGCATTATTTTAGATCTGCTTCTCATCCAGTTTTTTTTATTCAGATGCTTTGTACATACTATTGAAATAATTTTCTGTTAAGAGTTTTAAGGATTTCCAGGTTTAATATTTAAAAGTCATTGACTTTACTCATGGATAGTCTGACTGATCATGCTACAAGAAGAACATTTCATTGTAGCACTTTCCATTGTTTTTGTCAAAGCAAAATTTAAACTAAACTTTTTGAATAGTCTTTTTTAATAAGAACACGAAGGAAAAAATAAATTTTCTGCATTCCAAGATTAAAAGGCGAGTCATTAATACTTTTTGGTAATATGTGCCTCTGAGGCAGGTATTCCCATTGAAGGGGGAAAAATCATGTTTTCACCAAAGACGTTTGGCTTAGTAAAGATATCTTTTTGCGTTGGAGAAACGTGAAGTAATTTTGATTGTTGGACATATTGACCCCCTTACAAAAACTCTGAAGCTTTTCTTTATGTCCATTTCCCACAATCTTCAAAAAACAGCTAATAAAGGCAGTTTTTCCTCCAGTGTATTTAATACAAAGAGTATAATTAACAATTTTAAAGAGCATTAAAATTCCCGTCAGTTTTACAAATAACTTACCACCGACACACACACACACACACACACAACCACCACCACACCTCACTCAATTAGATATGCCTTTAGATTATCTGTCCAGTAGCATGCAAAATGCTTAATAACTAATCTTGTTGAGAATTCCTTGATTTTTTAATAGAAGGATTTTTTACCTATAACATCGCTGGAAATTATAATTACTTATTCCTTTTGAAATCCCACCCCTTTTTTGGAACTGTCTCCACTGGGATATGTATTATAATGAAGGCAGATTGCCTACATTAGGCTAACAAACACCAAATTTTCGAATCAAAGACAACTGTTTTTAACAGAACCAACAACATCGACTAAGACCCGAGTTAAACATGAATCTATGCTGCTCTCTCGTTTCTACTGTCGTTTCTCTTTACAAACTGCAGATTCAATTCTTCAGGAAATTCCTTGAGAAAACTCAACATGCAAGCCAGGATGAGTCAGCATTTAGGAAGACATATAGTTCAGCTATCTACCATGAAACTGTACAGAAGATAAATTAAATTACAGAAGGTCCAGTACGGGTTTCCATTGATGAGACTGGCGGCAAAGAAGGTAGGCTGGTTGGCAATGTAGTTATTGGTTTGTTAAGTGAACACTATTCTGAACGGATTCATTCACATTGTTTTCTTGAAAAGAGCAATAACAAAATTTCCATAAAGCTACAGGTATTCTGTGGCCAAAGGGCATTATGTACGATAACATGTTACTCTTCATTAGTGATGCTGTACCATATATGGACAAGCATTAACTATTGTTTATTCTAACACGACTTGTATCACATGTGTGGCACATGCCTTTCATTATGTTCAAAAGCGATAAGAAGCAATAACCCTAAAGTAGATTTGTTTCTTTCATCAGTGATTTTTTTCTCAAAGCTTCCGGTTGAGTTAGTATGTTTGAATTTCAATGCCAACAAGGCCAATTCTAATTAGATGGGGGACATAACTGCTACCACTTATGCCGAACATGTACACTCTATTAAGAACGTTCTTCTCGTATAGGACTCTGAAGATGCAGTCTCAATTGAGACAGCGAAAACCATTGCATGTAACACAGGTGTGAAGTACGACTTCAGTTACATTCTATATACATTTTTATGCATCACAAAAATCCTCAAAAGTTTCCAATATATGCACCTTTTACTTTGCGAAAGCTTTGATATTGTAAATTGTACAGTGGAACAACTAAATCGTGATTGAGGTGAAGTTGTAGATTCAGAGAAAACTAAGATGGACCCAGTGCTTTACTGTACGAAGCTTTACTGTATTAAGTGTTAATCATTTAACTTACTGCTTTCTTCTCAGCATCACCACCAACTGTTTCGTCTTTTTCCTTCAACTTTTTGCCTTCATCCTCTTTTCGCAATTTCTTCCTCTCAACCTCCTCTTCAGATTTTTCAGCTTCTCTCTTCAGCCCATCGGCATCCTTTTCTGTTGTCCCCATGTCAGGCACTTTAACAGAAAAGACAATACAATGTAACAAATCATATTATACTGAATATAACAGGATATCACCGATATTCTAGAAAACTCCTCAAGACAAAAGAAGATAAAATATATATTTTTGTGTTAATTCATGCACTTTTATTTCAGTTCTTGTACCTTAAATATCTAAATTATTCTACACTATATCTTAATTAAGGAAAATAATATTTTCGGAAACTAAATGAAGTCATATGAAAGAACTGAAATGAGCAGTACAGGTAAATTTTTGCTTTTATATAATGCATGTCATGAAGATTAGGCTCGTAAATATACAAAACAGTATTTATATTTTTATAGATAACAAAGGCTAATTGTCAAATATAAAAATATGCTGAATAACAATACCACAGTTCAATAATTCAGTAGCAAAAAAAAACACTGATGTTAAAAAGACATACATTATACACAGATATTTTGGTTCTCTTAGTTCGCTCATGTTCACAATCAACACAAGTCTTTACCATTTTTCTGCTGCATTTGCCATATTAAATTTTATTACATTTATCTGGGACTTTGTAGCCCCATTTTTTAAAGGAACAATGGCAACAAGGTATTTTTTTACCAAAGGTGGAGGTCCAACTACTTGTTGGTAACTGCTGCCTAATTTTTATTTTCCAGTCTTATTTTGTAGAAGAGGAAGTATTGTAATCATGCGTCGCAAAACAGTGAAATTTTGACAGAAAAAATGTTAGTGCTGGTATCTAGTATTGAAAAAGTGAATACATCTTGTTCCTACATGTAGTCAATTACATCCTCTACCACCTTGTGCATCCATGTTTTGTAAATCCTTGGTCCTGAAAAATCGATTGTCATTAAAATGGCCATCTGATGTCAACGTTAGCGCCTAAACTATTTGACGATTTTCTTCAAAACTGATATTCACCCTGTCTATCTAAATGAACTCAAGGCAACGCAAGTTTATATTTTGATTTTGAAGGGATCTTTACACAAAGCCTCAACTTTATTTTCAAAATTTTCTCAAAATTAGCACCACAATTTTTTTATTAAACTTGGTTCTCAAATAGTGTAAGTGTTGCAAAAGAGTGGCATTGTTGAAAAAACTGATTTTTGAAAATTGCGCAAGATCAAAATTTTCTATGCATCTTTCTACAACTACATTATTAAAAATGAACCTTTTTCGTTAATAAAATCTGTTCTTCAAGAATAAAAACTGTAAAAACTTACTTTTCACATCAGTGTCACTTCTAAGAGAGGTTGAATCATCTTCGACGGTTTCCAGATCCAAGGGCAATTGGGAAGTGCGGTGCTCCTATAACAATACACAAAACCATCGCTAAAATCTTTGCAAAATAGATACATCACTTTCAAATGTAAAATTCATTACAATTAGGATTTTAAAATGCTTAATAATAATTAAAAAGAAAATATATAAACTATCTCCTTCACGAAAGTTTTTCAACGCAGTTTCACATACATACACAAGAGATACATATTTCAGCTACTACTACTAATACTACTTCTACAACTACAACAACTACTACTACTAATATTACTACTACTACTACTACTACTGCTGCAGCTGCTGCTGTTGCCGCTGCTAAATATCAATGTTTTGCATGATACATGTAAAATTGCAGCTTCAGCATCCAGGTAGGCTGTGATAAAGAGGCACATATATCGGTTAACTCCACAACATGGAAGGCACTGTATAAAACAGACAGGAACGCAAAAAGAACAAAACCTGGCTATCACCTGCTTTTCTATTCACTTAACAAACGAGTTTTCTACTTTTACGAATTTTCTCAATAAAACATTCTTCACCGCTTGCTTCTACGTCAGTGAACTGTTGAGTGTAAAACAGGCTATTTAACATACTTACTAAAATTTTTCTGATAGTTAAGAAAGAAGTGTGCACAAAGCACCAATAGCTCTAGTTCAACAATAGTAAAAAATTAATACAGTTAACACACACCGGAAAAACAAAATAATTCTGATATTTTGCAGTCTTCTTGAAAATTATATTTATTACTGTGCCAATACATAGACAAACAGCAAGGGAGAAGAGAAGAGCAACATGGAAATAAATGGGTAAAAGAAAACAAATGTGTAAAAATATATTTTAAAAGAAAGATTGACATTAAAAATTAACGAAAGTTTCAGAACACCTACGTTCTGCTCCACATTACACACATTCAGGGGGAAAGAAATTACTGATCATGAATATTAAAAATTATAATAGCAACACAAACTTCAAGCAATAGTATTTTTTTCTACGAAGGACAAGCATTTCATGCAACTTGCTACTGGCTACAATGCAGTAATTATTCAAGACATGTACATTTTTACGTGACAGGACAATATTACATTAGGACAACAGAAACATTCAAAGAATGAACTTACCAATGCGCTGGTATTGTTCTCTGTGTTTTTTCTGTTTCCTACCCCGCTACATTATCGCAAGCATGAAATTAATTTACAATCAAATTACACCACTTTTATGGAGCAGATTTGGACAAAAGTTAACATTTTCAATTATTCTTAGTGTTAAAAGAGGTTTGTCTGTACAAACTTAAAATTGTGAAAGTACAGTGTAAGGACCTGGAAGGATAATTTCCATGTACCTACCTCCTTTTAGTGGTAAGTAAAGAGTAAGAAACAACATATTAAAATGGCTTTGTAAGGTTGTAAGTGCAATCATAAAATTAGTCTAAGTTATTAATACATATTTAACACGAGTGATTTTAAGGTAAAAATTTGAAGTAAGAATTGAGATCTATGAAAATTATGATTAAATTAAATTTAAATATGTTTGTAATACAGCAAAATATATGGATAATTCCAACACAACATCAAGATTTGATTATATAGACAAGAGAACAACAAACTGACTACTAAAGTACACAGCAGCAGTATGACTACTAAAGTACTAGCAGCAGTATGAGAACCATTACAGTATAAACAACTTTCACATATGGGTGGGGGATTACATTATTTAAAAAATTAATTACAGCAGTAAGAAGCATAATTGATGACAGGGAAAAAAATTACACTTATGCAACTCAGAGAAAACACCTTGAAATTTTGATCATTGAAGAAATAAAATGACAGTACACTTGCAACACTGTACAAAAGCTGTTTGATGATCCAAAGTCATGCAAATTGTGCTCATGGTGATAAACAAAAACTGCAAAGAGTACAACTACAGTGATTTACTTGTTAATAACACACAGTTCAAATAATTACATCTGCATCACATTTTATAATACTTCAAAATGGAATGAAACCATTGGTTAGCATTACTTAAAACTACAGGTTTCAATTGCATCAATGGTCAAGTGCCTCAAATGCATTAACATTCCAAAGAAATGATTGACATACTTTTTACTGAATTATTGAAAATTGAGGCACAAAACTATTAGAAATTCAAAGTATTACAATATTATAAAAATTCCTTTGCAGATATCACACTTAATTAGTGAAACATGTTTTCCTGAATTATGAAACTTATGCTGCTATTCCCAAAATTTAAACACCTCGTTTGTTGCAGAATATTAAAACCAAATGAACTTAAGAAATACAACTTTTCTCTGACCACGAAAATTCAAAATCCACACATTTTGTTGCATTTAGTAAGAAATTTCATAGTGAACAACTTAGTGCTGTACAATGATTATACAAGAGCTATTTAACCCATTAGTGACTTAACATAATTTTGGATGCATAGCACTCCCTCTATTGTTGTCACGTCTGTGCGGGCATCCACACTGCTTGGAGCTCTAGTGTTTACAACATTAAGTGATAAGTAATTGTTATGTTTCTAAATTACACTACTAAAGTGCTCCCTAGAGTATGAACTGCTGGTTATTTCAGTTGTTTTTCTTTCTTTCTAGAAGAGGCAAAAACATTACACCTTAATACTGTATGCCCTGTCAACTTTGGTGCAGACCAACCCCTTTGCTTTACACCTGCCTTTCTTTCCGACTAAACCATAGACATACAGCAATTAAGAATGGTTTTAGAAGATTTGAACTACCCTAAGTCATTAATCATCCTCCCCAAGAGCATACTACGCTTTAGCAATCTTGACCAAATCAAAATCTAGAATGCAGCAAAGCCAAAACTTGCTTTTACGTTTCATTTAGGATGTGTAAATTTAATAACGAAATAAAAATTCAAAATCACAAAAGAAGCAAATAAATTCCAAAGGGTGTTTACATATGAAAAATCATATGCTGGGCAATAATGGGTTAATGAACATGTAAATGAAATTATTCTGCTTTTCCCTTAAACTCAACGATACATCTCTTAATTAAAAACATTCTAAATAACAAAGTGAATTCAACTGATCCTTATATTACAAAAAAATTAAGATTGAAACCATTTGTAATGCCAAGAAAAATTAAGTGGGTTTAGAAATAACTTATGATGTAAAGATTAGTTTTATCATTTTTTAACTTTGGAATAAGAATTCAGTAAATAGTGCTCAATATTTTAAAAAAAGGCACTAAGAATCACAAGAACCTCCAATTAATTAAAAAATGCCTTGTCTTTCTCAATACCAAAATATAATGGGCCCAAAATGTCATTATTGCAGTTCATTAAGAATATCTTCCTATTAGGCCTTCAATTAGCCATAGAAACTAAATTAATGCTTTCATGTTTCATACAATTTATTCTTTCATATATATTTCATCACCACAGAAAATTTGTTATTCCTATATTTAACTACCAGTAATATGTACCATAGTTCAAACATTACAATTCATGAAATTTACAAAATATAGAATATTAAAGTATCTACATGTACAGAATTGGTCTCATTTAATTTTCAACAATAATTTCCACCTTGCATATATCAATGGGGTAATGGTTTGACATCTAATTTACTATTTAGGGGAGGCATGAGGCATGGAGGAAAAAGGATGTCACTCAAAGCATTTCAGTCTACTAGTGAAGAACTAACCATTTTTCTGAATCCTTTCAGAACATTCTTAGAGAATTCTTGATAGGCATGGACGGGGAGATCTAAAACATGTTCTTGGGATATGAAGGAATTTTTAGGAAATATATTTTACACTTTAATATTCCCATGCCACTTAACATATTTAAGAAAGATTTTTTTTTAGCTGGAAAGTCATTCTCAGGACTGATGTCAACGCAGGCTTAGAGGTACCATATTCCTAACATCAGTTTCGGGAAAATGTCAGTCTTACTGTGAATAACATTACTTTTCAACACACATACCGGAATATTTTTTTTAAAATGGATGTTTCACTATCAACATGACTTAATAAGCCTCAAGTATTTTGAGAATAACTGTAGAGAATGTGAAGTCTTTATTCCATTTTCAAGATTACTAGAACATGCAAATTTTCTTTTCAGTAATTAAATCAGAATATGGAAAAGTACTCTTAATAACTTTAAGATTTCCATTTTCAATCAAACTTTTCAAGTTTTGGAATTAAATCTTTACATTGGCTTGAAACATTGTAGGTATCTTATTTTTTTGGAATTCTGGAGATTACAATTAATTTTGCAATATAATTTTAAAGAGAGTTCAGTTCAGTAGTAGTATTTAGGATAATAATAATAATTTCCACATCAAAATGAATTAAGTTACGAGAGTTCTGATATTTTTCACAAAAAAAGGGATTTTGTTTTTTATACTTAACTGAGTTTTTATGGATGGAAAAAATTGAATTTTATCTCTGTTTTCATTAAATTTGATTTTTAAAGTATTAAAATGTTTACAAACTTCCTCACTAGTCTTGCATAAATTAATTTAGGACCGTATTAATTAATTAGTACTGCCTTAATGAATTCATAGATACAGGACCTGTAAGTGATCTCTAACAATTACAATGAATATGAAGACAACAATTGTTTATGTAGTTTCTCCATTTATTAATTGTAAGCATTAACTTAGGAATATGTAGCTAGATAAAAATAAAGAAGAAAAAAATTAATTAATTTTTCACATGCTCAAAAAAAAAATGGCTCTTTTGAAAATAATAAACAACTTTTCTACGAACCATAATGAAATTGATAGATTTTGAAATTGATAATGTAATTTATAGCTCTCCAGGGAGAAGTTGGAGTTTGAAAACATCAGACTTACATAAGTCAATTTTATTGTGTAATATATATCATATATCAATATAGTATATAATCGTAAATCAATTTTGGTTCTACATCAAATGCACTAATTCTAATTGTTGGATCAGATCCGACCCAGAGAAAGATACGTTGATAAGTTCATTGATATTCATTGTGCTTTGTTTAATCCATGTTTGATATCACTTTTATATAAAATAGGGACAGAGAAATTTTATGTGAAGAAAAAATATCTTTAATAATGGAGACTGTAGGTAGGGATCCAAAAATTTCAGATTTTTGCAATTTTCAGAAATGCAGAATGGACAGTAAAAAATTGGACCACACCATTTTCATAAGTGTACTTCACTATATTTTTACTTTTTTTTATTTTGAAAACATCCCAGGACTTTATGAAAAGTACCCCCAAAATTCAAAGAATGTGTTTCCAATTCTTATTAATTGGCGAATTTTCATTTTGGAAAAAAATATTACAAATAGTTTATGCTCTAGTGTTATGGATGAACAGAAGTTTTGAGGGATGGAAGAAAACAAAATGTGATGGTTCCTTTGTGTTGTCCAGACTTGCAGGTATGTTCCCACCCGTTATGATCAAGATCACTCCCAGAAGAAAAAAATTAGGGAAAAGGTCAAAATAAGGCAAAAAAAACAAAATCAGAAGTTAAATAGGTAAAAAAAAAGTGGCAAAATAAAAATGTTCTAAAACATCTCCAGAGGAGCAATTAAGCAATTCCAATTGTCAAACAACTTAAAATCTTAACATTAATAAAAATGCATTTTGACAAAATTCCAAGCTCTTGTAATTAATTCATGCAGATACATATGAAATTTTTATCATCTTTTCAGTCTACTGTTACATAAACATTTACATTTTTCATGAAATGGAAAAGCAATTCTCGAAATATATAAATGAAAAACAGAACATTTAACTGACTATGATTAATCTGTAAACATAAGACTACCCCGCATTTTTCACATGAGATTTTAAGAAAAAAAAGTAAGTTTTATACTTGGAAAATATGGTACTTTTAAGGTTTCAATTTCATTATTTTTTTTCCCCTTCTTGTTTTCTTTTTTTCACTGGTATTCACACTTTAATAGTGAAGCCTGAAGGTACATTTCTGTTTTCATCTGCTTTTGCCTCCTGAATGTTCGAATCACAGCACTCAAAATTTGCTACCTCATTTTTAATGATCCGTCAGAACGTAGAAGAAAGGAAATTCTATAGCTAGTGGCATGCTGTGAAAATAACAGTAATTTATTTCACAAGAAGTTTAAGATACACTATGGGCCGGTTTCACCAACCGGAATCAAGATGATGATCGAATTGATACGGATCAATTTCAGTTTGATCCCGTTGTACGTTTCTCCACGTACTGGAAACGAATCAACCTGTCTGACTCAGATCAAATTTGACTCGCAATTAATCCATCGCCGAGCGGTGGATCACGGCCAGATCAGGAGTTATTTCTCGACTTAGTCGTCTAGCTATTCCAGTTTTCCATATTTTTTAAGCAAATACCTGTAGTTGGACTTAGATTCAGTATGGAAGTATTCGCTAAGAAGTAGGATTGCAAGCCATATTTGTTGAGCAAATGTGTTTTTTAAAATAGTATTGTAAATAAAAGTAGGGTTAACACAATTGTAGGTTATAATTCTCGGTATTGGGAAGTAAAATTTAAATATATTTTGACTTCAAATTAGTGTAATTATAAGTATCATTAGTAAAATAGCATTTTGTTACTTGTAGTTTATTGGAGGTGCTATTAATCCGCATTTCTATCTGATTTTTGGGATATCTGTATTGCAATTGGCTTGGGATAGTTTTATTGAATTTTTGTTTTAGTGTAGTAATACTTTGAATTTTTGTTCTTGTTAGGTTAATTTGTGTCATAAAAATGGAGTTTGTTTTAGAATGAAGTCATTGAAGATTTGTTGTGGGGAAAGACACCACAAGTAATTCCCAAGAGAAGCAATTATTTTAAAATGTCAGAACGAGCATTAAAACATTCTTTGCATTTGCTCATTAAGCTTTCGAGTGATTCTCTTTCAACTGGAGAGAAATTAAGCGTCGTCTATGCATTCTTTCAAACGTCAGGAGAATCCATCACCGAATTAGAATACTACCACACGCAACCGAACACCACAGACAAAACGAAATGAAATCAAAACAACTCGTTTCCTACAGCTGACCGCAAGAATACCCACAATGCTTTGCAAAATTGCAACCGCGCATTTTCATGACTGCTCATGAATCATGGGTCCGGATTAACATCGAAGTCTCAAAACATTGATGAAACGCACAGGGATCAAGTCAGCCTTGACACCGCAGATCAGGATCACGAAACACGGACCAACTACAAATTTGATCCTTGTGGGTGAAACTAGCCCTATCAGTAAGAGCAAAGAAGTATTACCTCATACTGTGAGGTGTAGTGAGCAACAATCTCTCTCAAGTCCGTGAAGTATCTTTATTGAGTGAAGTACTTTATTTCATTTTATTCTGTTTTCTTTTTCTCAGTGGTTGCCAAAACAAACCAGAAGTTACTCTAAAAAACTATCACTGAGTTTTAAAGCATAAAAACTATGTGGGAAATAATTTGGTGGAAGGGGCAGCAAGTCAGAATTAAGCTCTAACAAATGTATTTTGAATGACACAGAATTTCCTTTGAATACCTATGAGTAAAGAATTAGAACGCTGATAATACAAAAATGACACACTGTTGACAAAGAACTACAGTTAAGGATAGTTTATTTGCAGTAGTGGAGAACCTGTCAAAGACCTGACAACAATTTGCACTTGCTAACTATAATAATATTAATTGAGTCACATTCATTGAGTGAAGTGAATAAAAGACAAAATCTTACCTCAGCATCTTCATCTACAAGTTCTTCTTCCACCACTTCAGCTTTGTATTCTAATAATAAATCCCTAATAGGTTTGGCATCCAAAGTACAGTTTATAAATTGATGCTAAAAAATATTTAAAAAAACATTTTGAATAAAATTACTGTTTGCAAAGATAAAGAACATTTGTAAAACATCCAAAAATAAATACCTTAATCAGGTCATCAGCAGTAGGCCTTTGACTAGGGTCTTTAGTAAGACATTTAGCAATGAAATCATTAAAGTCCTTTGACCATTTGGAAGGTTGATCCAGTTTTGGTGGATCTGATTTTTGAATTTTAAGGAGGACACGCATAGGAGACATTTCATGATTGGGTGGTTCCATTTGAGCAAATTCTATAAGAGTAATTCCCAAAGACCAGATGTCTACCTGAACATAAATCACAAAAAAATATCCATAATCCTCAAGTACAAAACAGGTAGTCTCATCTATTTTTCAAGATAAGGTCATCCAATTTGGGGGGAAAATGAGTACTTTTAATGAAATTTGAAGTAAAAAGGAAGAATAATAACACACTAATGAAAAGTGAAATAAAAGGAAATTACAATTGTAAAATGTAATAGTAATTCACATGCATTGGCATATATTGTAGGTTGCTAATGATCATGCTGTTAATGTGACATAAGAATGTTTACTGAATTACCTTGAAATCGTAAGGATTGTCCCGAAACGTCTCACATAATACTACCTCTGGGGCCATCCAATATGGCGTTCCAATAAACGTATCATGTTTCTGAAGAGTATATTTATTTTTGGCAGACACTCCAAAATCAGCTGTAACGTACAAAAAGTGTAAAAGAAGTGAAAGACATTACAAACTACTCACCCTTTCCATCACATTGAGAAGTTCCCTTCTTCATCTAATTATTACATATACAATATCTATATATATAATAATAATATTAATACTATATATATATATATTATAATATATATACTAAATTTTAGTTATTTTAAATACAAATTATTTGTTGTCACATTGATTACTAAGAAAGTTTTAAAAACCCGTTTGTAGCGTGGAAATAAGCAACATCCGTTTAGCTGACTTGGTGTGTTAAACCGATGAATTACAAAAGCTACAGTGTATTAACACAATTTTTTCACTGATTATTCTTTTAAGACCATACAGTGGTGATAAGACAGTCATATATCAATACAATATCAATGTAGTGAAATTTCTTGAAACCCAACTTTACCCCATTTTTATAACCAATTCCTGTTCCATAATCAACCTGTTCTATAAATATAAAAACCTGTTCTCTTCCCTTTATGATAAAAATCCACCTAGTCTTATTTTTATTTCATTCAAAAATCCATTGTATTGACATCTTGTTGAAGTTCTGAGTTCTTCTCAACTAAATTAAATAAATTTTCCATACTTCATTTACTTCTCACCCTACGAAATACATTAACTTGAATCACAAGTGAAAACACAACTAAATTATGAATAATTTGTGCGATTAAAACTAAGATCCAAAAATAAATTATATATTAAAAAATATTGAAAACAACCCAGACAAAAAAATTTTCCTTTCCAATCAAATAAAAATAAGTAATAGCATCACACTCTTGTAAACATTTCACAAACTGGTGAAGTATTAAAAGGTGTAAAATTTGAAATACCTAAATTAAATTTGTGGTAGTTTGAGAAATCACTGGGACTGGGACTTATACATTTACCAAAGTGTAGATGCAATTCACTCAAAATTAAATGTATTTTCAAAACAAACTCCTAAGACTTGCATGTCAGAAGAATGTTTAAATTTAAAAAAATCTTTGTTACTAATTGACAACACTGGCAGAAATTGAAAGAATGTTATGAACCCTCCAGCATTTTGAAAGGTGTCTATGATTTCAATAAAAACCAAGGAACTTGGGAAAAGTCAAAAAACAAAGCTTTGATTCTGAATGAAAAATGAAAATATTTTATTGTGTTATTCTGCCTATTCTTATACTGCTCAAACCATCTCAATTCTCATATTCAATGTGTCACTGCTGACAACACAGCTGATGTAATGCAACAGCAAGGCTCCATGGAAGACCAGCCATTAATGTAATATGGAACAGCAACATTTTTTTACATTCAGGGTATGTAATCAACAGTTGTTACGTGTATCATATACTATACTATAGTATACTATACTATCATATTGTTATTTATCTATATGTATATTGTCACTTATTTATCTATAAGTATGCTATACTATCTTATTGCAGAACTTTTGAAGACAGTTTTTGTTTAAATATTTAATTTTTGTAATTGTAATGTTTACAAAAGTATTTACTTTGTTGATTTAAATATTATTATTATTATTATTATTATTATTATTATTAGGAAATTTTAATAATCGTAATGTTGTACAAGAGTATTTAATTTGTTTATTCTTGAACAGTGTGTGTGCTACATTTAGGAAAACAATTTTGTATGGTTTTATTCAGCAGAATTTTGGCCACTGCAGGCCACTAGTCCTTACCCAATTTCACACCACCATTCATTGTGAGCAAGACATTGCCTGCTTTCAAATCTCTATGAATAACTTTACTTTGATGCAAGAATTCTAATCCTAGACACATCTGCTGACAAACATAGGCAATTTGAGGCTCTGTTAAAGGTTTTTCTAACTCCACCATAATTGAATCCAAAGCACCGCCATCACAGTATTCAATTAACATCTGAAGAAAAGAAAGAACACTAATGTCATTCAGCTATTGACTTGTGATTATAGAGTCTAGGAGATCTTTCTGTGGTACCGACAGCTGGCAAGCATATGATGCAATGTTGCCAAATACAAAGTTCACTCCTGAAGAGTTTTCTAATCAATAAGATGCCTTCACTGAAAATTTTAATTATCATTTACAGTATATCAAGCACATGTTTCATTCCAAGTTCAAAACAATTACAGCAGTAACTCGTGCCCAAAGCTCAGTAGTCATTAATCAAGTTCATGTTTATATTCCATTACTAATGTAGGTCAGTAAGGATTGTCATAACTCATACATGTTAGATTCCGCATGTCATCACCGAATCAGACACACCACTCTAACAACAATACCTAAGAAAGATCTCCTAATTAAAAATAATCAGTTCATTAATACATACCCAAAGTTTTCCTTCAAAGAAAAATGCCTCATGTAAATCTACAACATTTGGATGTTTACAGTCTGATAGAATATCAATTTCTATCATAAAATCAGATAAGTCATCTTCTCCTTCCAAAGCACACATTTTTGCAGCTGCATATCTTGATGTATCAGCTCGGCTTTGGGCCTATGAGAACAAATTGTCACCCTAGTACAAATTCAAATTATTTTATAAAAATCATAACAGTAACCCAAACACACCTTATACACTTTGCCAAATGCACCATCCCCTAACTCTCCAACCATTTCCCAAAACTCTGCAGGATCACAATCCATTTTGATGTTATTAAATAACTTCTTCTTTTTAGCTTCATTTCCTCCTCCTATATGAAGTACTTTCTGCAATTTTGTGAAGAACGACATCTTGGCTTTCTGATTTTTGCAATTATTAAATAATTTCTTGTATGTCCACCAATATGGATTAAAATAACTTCTGTATTTAGCTTCAAAAAGTTTCTTTGAAGTTCATATTTCAGTACACTTCACCCACACACACATACACCCCACAGAAAAAGAAAAGGGGTGATTCTACAGTTCACTTCACATTTACAACATCCGATAAATTTCAATAGGGAAAGAACATATTCAACCAACAGCTTCAACCTTCAAAAGGTGGAAACGTGAAATCACAAAGCACCATTTTCACCCTCCTGAAAAAGAAATCTCTATCAAGAGAAATAATTGCATTGAACAAACACTTTCATGTTTTAGAACTTAGAAGTAATGCAGTTATAACATTCATAATTGTACCATGAAATATTCACAAAGGAATAGTTATCTATGCAATGAAATTTAACTGATGCCATGACTGAAGGATTATAGTTAAAATATAACATCAAAGTAAAAAGTTGCAGAACCAATGAAAATACAGCTCAAAATTATACACATTACAGAATTGCAATAGGTTTTCAACTTGACAGTAATCAAATATCACCCAAAACTAAGAGAAACGAAGAGAAAATCGAGGTTAATCATTAGTTCTTTTCATATATGAATAAATTTAGGTCTTTGCAAAACAGGGTTGGGTACATGTCTTTGACAGAATCAGAACTAAACAAGTTTACTAAATCTGTACTAGAGTGGAACGTTTCATGGTGTAAGATATGCATAGAGGAAACACTGGAGGAATATTCATGCTTATTCTAAAGTTGCCAGATAATAGATCTTGAGCGAAGGATACCATTCAGTAATGTCAGAAACAGACATTGCGTACCCTGATTAAATCACTGCACTACTTACTTTCTTGGGAAGGAATATCACGAGACATACACACAGTCACGTTAATGTACAATTTATTGTTGTCATCTTTCGCCATTGATAAATAAACACTGGCTAATTAACAATAACTGTGAATTCACTGTATTTCGTTCTCTCCTATTAGCGGAAGGAAACAGCCATCTTTACCACGCCTGGAAATGACGTCATCACCTGAAATTGGCGCTACCATCACAACAGAAGGGAATAGGGTATGTAAAAAGTTCTCTTGCGATAATATTACAACATACGTTTAATTACTATTCACTCTCCCCACTAATTTGTGAAATGTACAAACACAGGACCACAATGACGGTCATTCCACGACTCCTGCGGACTCCTGCCCGTACAGTCGATATTGGTCGATATTAAAACACAGAGAAAACATAACTAGTTCTAATAGTTGTGACCACAAGTCTGTAAGAAGACTTATATACCGAACTAAACATTATGGCACATCAAAGTCACTAGCTGGAAAGCAAGGGAGGCATTATAAACGAATCGAGAGCTCTAATATCAAAATTTTATATCGCAAAAAATCTCCTAATTGCATGATAAGTGCCCCTCACCGCCCAGCTTGAGATCTTGAAGTTTCACTCTGTTTAAGTCGGAATGTAACTAGATTCTAAAGAGAATATACTTTATACAGTGAAACCTGTCTAAGACGGAACCTCAAGGTTCCTTCGAAAAAATTCCGTCTCGGCAGGTTTCCGTCTTAAATAAAATTTGCCAAAAATCATCATATGATCTAAGCACAGTATTTTCGATATAATTTGTTTGAAATAAAGTTATAAAAATAAAGTTTAATTTATCAATGAAAATATTGCAGGAATTTTTTAAAAGAAATCAACAGCAAACAGTGAAAATCTAGGAGCAGGACAAACTATAGGAGTATAAGACTGCCTTCCCGGATTTCTATTGTCAGCTGAAGGCCAGTGGTGATACTATTGAGAATTGAATGACAAACATTAAGAATTCGTAGCAATAGCGAAGAAATCACGTTTGTGGCCATAAAAGTAACACTAAAGCATCAGAAAGTCGCACCTTCACGGACGCAGATTTCACCAAGGATTTCTCGACAGCGGAAAAACTCGTCGTTCACTCTTATTTGATTCAGGATGTGACCCTTCACACTATGCCATTCCAAAAGTAGTGGCGCAATTTTAAAAATAAATTTCCTTTTTAGACAGGAATCACTTTTTGTTCTCTAGAAACCATTTGGTTTCCGCGTTAGACCGGTTTACGGAGGTCATTTTTAAGTATAAAATCGTTCCGTTCTGAGATTTTTTTGTTCGAGATGGCAGGTTTCCGTCGCACAGAGGTTCAATCTTGGGTTTTAATGCAATTCTTGGTATAACTCCGGTGTTGGAGGCAACTACAAAGAACTTCGGCACCTGTACTCATATATTCATCCATTTTCATGCCAAGAAGGCACAATGGGCTCTTATGGACAATGTTATTCCTGTGAAAGAATGTTGTGTATTGTTGCCAATTCGATTGTTGGAAAAGTAGCGGAAAAATAAAATTCTATAGAGAAAAATTCGAGCAACACAATGGTAATAACGAATAATGTCATTCGGTTGCGTTTTACTTTCTCGCTACGGAGTAGAAAGAAAGTTATGTAATTCTGCGCAAAAAAAAAAA